CCGGATCTTAAAAGATGACCAAACCTCAAGGTAGACAATTGTTGCAATGTGTTTGTTTGTTTGTTTGGTTGCTTTTTGTTTGCTTCATTGTTCCAACTTATTCGGCACATCAACTGAGCAGGTCAGCAGCATGTTTCTTCGCTAAGTACCAGCCTCATGCTCCCCGCATGAGCAGGCTGTTCATTGATCCAAGCTGTTTGGGGATGTTTGGGGTAATTGTCATGTGTCGAGGCACATGGAATAATTATGCAGAACACCCTGGTCATGTCCGGAGGTTGACACCTTACACTTGCACGCTGTCAAGCGCAATGTTGGCAACTAGCAGAACTTTGTCCCATGACGCGCCTGCATAACAGGCATCTGAAACAAAACAATTCTTGCCATCAACAGGTGGCTTACCCTCTGGCCATACTTGTTTGGAACATTGACTTGTGCACAGGATGCGAAATGTTCTTGTTGTGCTTTGGTCCTGGAAGCATTTCAATCAGGACTGTTTTGCCAGTCTTGCCGTGTGTGTTGGCTTCGATCTTGCCCGTGGTTGGCCGCACAAACCATTGCGTCATGAATGTCCAGTTGCTTATGCTCCAATCGTTCCAGGAGCATGCTGATGCGGCAGCATGCGGATCCTTCTCCCTTTGCAGGGGCATGGCTTTGCCCGTAAGGCGTGTTTCGACAGCGGAACTCAATTCCGGCCTGCTCAAACTGGCGCCACAACCTCCCAGCCCCCCTTTTCTCGACACCTCCCTCTAATCTGCAGCTCATGAATGAAATCTCACTGGCATAGTCCCAATAGTTCATCTGGGTTAGGGACGAGTAAGGAGAACAGGGAAGCAGACCCTGCCGCATGCTCCGTCAACCACCTCCTCCGCAACAATTAGAGGGCCTACAAATCGTCGTCAGACCGCAGATGGCACAATTCATGTTGGCGTCATGTTTCCGTACTTAATCAAAAGGCCTTTGTGCCACCGTCCTTTTTGGTTCCTCGTGTTTCCACCGCGCGTGACTTCGAAGGACGCCACTTTGGACGACATGGGGGTGGAATGGCTGGAGGCGCAAGGTGCCACTCAGAAGGGCTGCGCCTTTGCGACATTTTGAGCGGAGGTAAAACAGGGAAACACCCGGGAAGGGTTCTGAACCTGGCAGGACTTTCGCAGATATTGACGTATTTTTTGGGGTGTTTGAGGAACTTGTGCAGAAGGACCTGGGATACAGATCCTTCAGAGGGATCCGGATCCGACTAAGGGTCTCCCAGATGGTTTGGTTGTTGGTGGTTGCGTTTGAGCTGGAGCCATCCAAAATAGGGTTCCTATGCATTTTTTGGTTGGTGTGCCCTCCAGCTAAAGGCGACAAAAAACGGCACAACATGAGGTCCAAATTCGGATAACCGATAAGAGGAATCCCTCTAAGCAGGCAGGCGGGGGCGCATCTCATTGTGTGCTACTGGCACCTATTTGAAGAATTATTGGTAGGGTATGCTGCCCACCTTTTGCTTACTGGTTGACAAGTTTGGGAACATGGTGAACGGTTTCCTTTGGTTCCGGGCCAAACGAGCATTTAGTGCCGATCGATTGCGTCTTTGAAGCAACGCTATAGCATTCGGAGGCTCTGATTTGAGGTGCATGCATTTTCAGCCAAGCAGGGGTAAAACAAGCAATGAAAGGGGATGGGGGTGTGACCCTCTGGAATTCCGTTCCAGTTCCCTTTTCGTGCGGAAGAGAAAATTGGAATTAGGACTCCTAATGCTCACTTCCTCAGTCTACGGACAAGAATTAAGGGCCATTGAATACTTTGCCTAGTAAACCACGAGTCCAGGTTTTCTCACCCATCCGCTCAGTCAGGAAGTGAGCTCAGGGTGGGGCTTTCAACACCAGATTTGTTATCCAGCTGTTCCTTTTGTGGGGTGATCTGGGCGGTCTCCTCATGTTCGTTATATTTCACATTCTGAGATCGACTGCATATATGCAGCAAATCGCAACACCATTTGCAGGTTTGAACAGACAAACCACATATTTGTCGTGCACCACACGGGTTCCCACAGACAGGGAGCCGCTTGCAGCGCCAAGGCGGCTTCTGCCTGGGCTGAGCCGGCGGCACCAAGTGCCCCGTGAAGGTGAAGATGACCTAAGCTGAGCCGAACGCGTGCTTTGATCGCCTCAATGAAAACAAACTCAGATGATTTGGTAATTCCTTCATGACCCCTCAAAAAATGGGTTCTATGTTAGAAAGAGAAGGCACCTTAGCTCCCTCCGGTGACAGGAAGGTGCCCAAAAATGAGGGGGTTCCTTGTGGTGTCCCTTTATCCCAACCCCAACCAGGGACCATCACACACACACACATTTCTTGATTAAAATGAACGTAGGGCACTCACAAATTGTAAACGCTTCGCGTTGCCCGACTCGGCCGTGTTTATTAAACTGAGTGAGTCGGCGCCGAAATGCGTGAGCTGGTTTCCAAGGTAGAGGTTGGCTCCATGCCTGCCTGTTTTGACATGGCTTCAAGGGCCAGAACGAGAGCCGCAGAGAGAATGGCAGTGCCAGCGAAGGTGTCGAATTTCTCGGGATTTTGACCAGAGTTGGACCTGTTTTTAGAGGGGATTTGACAAGTTTCTAGAGGGGTTAGTTGCTACGGTAAACAAAAAAAGGGGTTTGAGGGGAATTTGAACGGTCGGAAGGGGATTTTGACCGGTTTCTAGACCGGAGTTGGACCTGCTTTGGCCGGGTTTGGATCGGCTTTAGGCGGACTGGAGGCAGCTGGAGACGGGAGTTTGAGTGAAGAGGTTGGGGATGGGGTTTTGGAGGGGGTGTGGGGTCTCGTGAGGCTCGCGATCCTGTTTTGTTGCATTGAGATGAGCGATCGTGGCTCTTATTCGCGGGCTCCTTTGAAAGCCCGCTTGCGGCCTTTTCCGCACGCCAGCGGCTTTCCGCCGCTTCACCCCCCCCCCCCGCCACGCCATGGATAAACACCTTTGCAGCTTCGTTTTGGCCATCAGATCTCTCAGCACCCCACCAGTCAGTTACTGGTACATAGTTTGTTGTCATTGTGTAATTGCGTTTTGCAAATGGAAGATCATTTTCTTGGCAAGCTATTGCAACCTCACAAAGGGGTGTACAATCTCACCCAGGAAGTGTCCTTTCTTTGGGTTGAACTATTGTAAATCCAGGCCTTGGCTGGTCCTTCATTTCAGCTCACTTTCCGAAGCTTCTGAACTTTGTACTTTGGAGGAGCGAAAGTCATGAAGGACCTTAGGCCAAAGCACTTGTGATCCGTTGGCTTCTTGGCTCGTGGCGGGGGGACATCCTTGGGCCCTGTCCTGGCCATAGTGAGGCTGCGTCGATATTCGATGCTTGGCTGATGCTGGCCAGGAGATTTGCGTCCAGGTGCGAGGAGCTGTGGACTCCTTTGGACGAGCTTCTGCTTCCTAAGGCGTTCCCCCACCTCCGCGGCGGAAGGGACTGGCGGTTGCGCAATTGGAAAAGGCTGACAAATTCAAGCCACCTGCATCACAGCCTCAAATATGCACAAGCCGCGAAAAAGGGTACCCTCCACCAAGAAACCCGGCAGGTTCCTTAAGAGGAAATTGATCTTCCAGGACACCAAGTAAGTGACATTTCCGCAAATTGGGAGCCCTACATTTGGGTCCGTGGACTTTCAATGGGCTGGGGGCAAGCGAGGGCAAATAGTAGCTTTGAGGCTCAGTTGTTCCATGGCAACCTGTTTGCCTTTCGGCTCGGGTCCCCAACTGCAGATGGTTCACCTCAAACAGGATTCCCTTTCTGCACAAGGGTCACTGGGCAACAAGATGGAGGTTGTCTGAGAATCTGGGATCATGTGACCTTCAAAGGGTGAAGCTGACCTGGGCAAAGGGAAATCGCAACCGATGGTTCTGGCTCGCGAGCACCAAAAAACAGGTTTGGGTGCTATTTGGGTTGGCGATTTGCTGATAGTCACCGACGGAAATATATAAGGTTGTTCCAGGCGATCTCCCCTTGCAGAGCGGCAAACGTGTGCAACAGGACGAGATAGGGGGGGGCACCGAGGGGGGGGATGACGGGCCCCAAATTCCAAACACAAAACCCAGGCCGACTGCCGAAGCGAAATTGGTGAAGACAGAATGGCCTCCCATCACCCTTCCCTTTTTGGTTCCCCACGAAATACGGTCAACTCTACAAAGGGTTCCCTTTTTTGGCTAGGGTCACTGGGCTGGGTGGCTATAACTCGGAAGGCCAGCCTTGGCTGCTTTGTAGACGATCTCAGTGGCCCCCCTTTCCCTTTGTTTGCTGTTTCCCCAAGTATTGAATTGCCAACCGCGGATTCATACACCATGCGTGTTTAGATGGGGGGCGTTCCCGAAAGAGTGAAGGATACCCTCTTTGGAATGGCACAACCCCCCTTTGTGAATCAACCGGTTTATTTTCCCAGGCGGGACAACCCAAAAAAATCAACCCCGGAAAGAAATGGGTTGCTTCACTGCTCGCCAGCTTTGCGTCGTGCTCCAGCTTTTCGATATGTGAGCCCCAGAGCTTGACTCCACCACAAGTCCTCGGGTGTTCTCGGGGTAGACTGGAAAACCATAAGCCTTCCCATGGAGCCATGAGCTTGGCCAGGAGTTACGGGCTCAACAATTGCCCTGAGATAAAAGTGTTTTTTTCCCCAGTTAGCCTCAGTTGTTTTTCAAAAAAGGAAGGCTCCCTGACAATGTGCAAAGGACCTTGCAATTCCGTCACCTCCCAGCAAAAGGCTGTGAACATACGGAGTTACGACGGATTTTTTGGAAGCAAGCCCTTTGAGCATAGCATGGTCTCGAACATTTACACACATACACGCATGACATGTACACCAGTATTTGATTCCATTTCCAGACCAAAAGGTGTAGCTCCACAGCTGTTTGCCTTTTTGCTGTTCCTTATTTGTTTTCCCTTTCACCATCTTTCACCAGCCCAAGCACTGAAACAGGAAACCAATTCTTTGTGGGAGTCTAAGTCTCCAGATTCTGGAGCGGAATGCGACGGCGGAAGGGCAACTCACAGAATGGCGCCGAGCAGGAGGGAAGCAGGCGCAGAAGCCCCCAGCGCCCGATCTTTTCTGTGGGGCTTCCACCCACCCGCAAACAGATGTTGGAAGGCTTGAAGCAAGAAGGCAATTAAAGCTCGACTTTCAACAAATGTATCTCGAGAGCAACATAGAGAGAGCGAGAGAGAGAGAGAGAGAGAGCGAGAGAGAGAGAGAGAGAGCGAGAGAGAGAGAGAGAGCGAGAGAGAGGGAGAGAGCGAGAGGTGCCGAACATGGAGGCAGCAATTGTTTTGCTACGATGAAAGGTTCTGGCTGAGTGCCAAGTAGCCCACAATTGTTGCATGTGTAAGCAAACAAAATGTAGGTCATTTTTCTCCTTAGATCTCCCTGTACAGCCAGTTGGGGGCCCTCGTTTTCAGAAAGAAGTCAGATGCTGTTTGTGCCCCGTGAGACCGGCCATCCAGCACGCCGCAGTGCTTGAGGGCACCTATCCGTGTCCCAAGGATGCAAATTAGAGCAACACATCCTCTATCTGATTTTTAAAGGATCTTGTAAAAAGCAGGTTTCGGATGTATCCTGTCAGGGACCTTGCCCATGGTTGCAGACTGTTCGGTTTCGGGTTGCCACTTCCTGTGATAACAGGGAATTCCCTTTAAGACAGTGACATGGACATGGCCCCCCCTCACGTCTCACAGAAGGGGTCATGTCATTTGCCAGTACCATGCCGTGTTCCTCGAAATGAAACGGGTTTGTCTCAAAGAAGGGTTCAGAACCTCAAGAATGGTGTGGTTTGCTGTTGGTTCACTGTTAAAACAAGCACAACCAGGGGACCGAGCCTGAAAATCAGACCCATCGCCCACGGGCTCCCTCGAGTCATTTAGGGTTTCAGGGGTCCAATGTTCGCCTGCAGCAGAGTAAGCTCAGAAATTCCTGGTGAGAATACGTAAGCCAGCCTCTCTGGGTTGAATTATTTGATCTCTTTTGGCGGCCAACAATTCCCTTGTCTGCACATGCAACACCAGCTACCCCTGAATAAATGCCCCTGCAAACAAAAATGGTGTGTACAAAAAAACAATCTCTGTAGGAACTGCATAGATGCGGAAAAATAGTGGCTGTATGTCCCTTAAGCTTAGCCAGGGCAGCTCAAGAGCTTGTGGTTTTTGGATGTATGTAAGGAACCCTGTCAGTGGTTTGACGAAAGTGGAACCCTAGTGACTATAAATATCAACTCAATTACCTCAGGACCTGAACCCCATGACTCCAACACACATTTCCAGATGGAACACTAAAAAAAAGATCCCCCAAAAGGAGGTTCCTCTAAAAAATGGTGGTGCTTGGGGTTCCCCTTGTTAAACTGTGGGGGGGGGAAGCTGAGCTTCGTGGCTCATCCCAGGTTGGCGTCGCCTGGGCTGGTTGGCGCCCAAGTCCCTGGTGGCCTTCCGCCTCAGTTTGGGCCTCGTGGTGGCCAACGACGCCATGGACAAGGCCACGTTCTACGCGCCGCGGACGGGGAAAGGCTGAAATCTCCCTACGGCCGAACCGGAGTCACGGGCAAAAGTGGGGAAATGGATTAAGAAAAACTTGCTGAGTCAGACATAGCTGTAAGTGGATGAACTTGCTGGTGCCCCAGAGGGTTTTTTTGAGGTTTCCAAGGAACCACAAGGGATGGTTTCTAGTGGTCATTCCCTCCTTTCCTGAGAACGACCCAGCAAGTTAAAACTCCTCCAGTTTGGATTCAATAGCTCTAAGATCCAGGACCTCCATGGCAAGAGGGTAGCAACCACAGCTGCGGATATCCGCCCTTTCGATTCTCCATAGTTTTAGGTACAGCTGTAGTGACAATCTTTCGATCACTCAAGACAAGCTCACCCATGAACCACGTTCCTGCGAGCTGATCACACAAAAATGACTTGGTTTCCTTTGGTTTTCCTTTGCTGGCCACAATCCGGAATTTCTATTCTAGCATTTTGCTGATCCGGTCTTTTGGATCAAGCCTGTCCAAAATTGCCCGCTTGGCCTACTTGACGCTTGTTAGAGGCGCTTTCCATCAGTGTACTCAAGGCTCAGCAAGCTTATCGTGTTTCTGGCAAGCTTTGTTGGAGCGCTGTCTCGTTGGAAACACCCACAGACTAGCATTTGTTGTGCACGTTTGAAGGGGGCTAAATGCTACGTTCAAGGCTGCTTTTCATGATCTAAGGTCTGCCTGAAAGGATTGGCGTGTTCCACTCGCTAGCATATTGTTAGACCTTGCGGAGAAGGGGGGAGACTATATACTTGAATGGAACAACCAGGTTTGGGTGGCTTGGAGGAGACAGCAACCGCTTGAAACTAAGAAGGCTTACCAACGCAAGATTGAGAATGCCTTTTGCGAAGGATCCGTTCCTACCTCAAGGCGGGCTGCCTGATCGGGTTAAACCCGAGGGTTGGTTGCTAGGGTTGAAGCCAAGCCCGCAGATGGGATTGCAGTGTTTAGTGGAGCTTTTGAACCAGATAACATGTCAAGGGAGTGATGGTGAGTGAAAGAAAGGACATCCCTTGCCGTCGCTTCCAGCTGAGGGGTTATTTGGAGGGCTGGGGGGATCCAGGACGGGACATCTGGTTGCCTCCACACGCCTCTACAGCTGGAAAGGTTTCGAGGCTTCCCTTACCATCATGCTCAGCTCTATTCTTATGGTGAGTATTTGTCTTGGATTTTATAGCTTACAGGAAGTAGAGATGCGGACAGAGATGCATGAAGGTAACAAGCTAGTTGAATGGCATAGTCTTGTCTAACCGCTTTTGACAACTTGGAAAAGATAAAATTAACACGAACACCATTTAATGCCAATACCGCTATTTATGGGTGGCTGTTAAGTTGAGGACGGCCACCGGAAGCCAACATTGTTGGCGGCACTATTTGCCAACAAACCCATGTGTGTGTGTGTGTATCTGGAAACTGTCGAACTGCCCAACTCGAAGCGAATCTGGGAACGAGGGCGGCTTGATATTTCCTTTGCAGTTTTTGAAGCGTACCACGGAATGTTCGCTCCTTTTTTTCTCCTCGAAGCTCCGCGTCCGAGGTGCCCGCCTTCTACGAGAACAAAGGGTCCAGCTATCCCCGGCTCGCCTTGCTGGAGGCGGGATGGCGACAACTCTCGGGGTAAGAAACACATCGGCAGCCTACGCACCGACTCTAATACCCAGGTCATCCTTCGTTGGTGGTTTGGATTGGTGGTTTGGGGGCCTTGAATCTCAGTTGCTTTTGCCAAATTGGAAGGTACTGTAATTTTTAACGCCCCAGCCACCAAACGAAGCCACCAACTGTGGGTAAAGTGAAATACTGGTTCAGAGCCATAGCAAGGAACACCTGAAATGTCCCGCTGGAGTTCTGGGTTACGCGGTATGGGAGCCATGGCAACCATGAAGCACCGAGCACTATCCCTCCTACGGTTGTCAGTTTTTTGGAGGCGGGGGAAAAAGGGTTGGCTTTTTTGGGGCCGCTGGAGGGGATGGCGGCAGGTAGCCACAAGTTCCATTCCGATTCAGAGATAGGGCATGCATGTGAAGGTGTTTGAGATTAAGCTGCAATGCCGAGTCAGAGCCTCAAAGCCGGAAAGCGTAAACTATGCCATGAAAATTATTGGATAACTCGAATGCCACTCTATATAGTTCCTTGCGCTCATGCGTTTGATTGCCTTCTCCCATCACCCTCAGGGGGCTGCTGCCGAAAGCGACCACCCCCGACAAAAAAACACAAAGTGCCATGGAGAACCACATCATGAACTGTATTTACAGGAACCTTCTTCTGGGGATTGGACCCCGCTGTTACAGTACTGATTCAGGGCCAAAAAAGCTAGTGAATGGTCTCGAATAGTCACGGTCACTTGTTAGCAAAGGCTCCCTTTTCGTGGCGAGTGTTTTAGTTGAAAATCCAACCAAACAAGGGCTTGCCATGCAGCCCAAAGTGCCTGAAGGGCACTCGGGCCATCGCCGCAGGCCTTGAGTGGTGCCCTTTTTGTCTTTGCTTTCGAAGCAACGCAAAGGGAAAACGCAATTGCTTGCTCCCCTACAAAACAGGGATAGGCATCAAACAACTTATTAGGGATCAACAAAAACTTATTAGGGATCAACAAGAAGAAATCTTTCATTCCTATGGGGACACGGAAACAAGGAAACAAGGACACAAGGACACAAGGACACAAGGAAACAAGGAAGGAACAAAGGAAGAACGGAAGGAAGGAAGGAAGGAAAACAAGAAAGAAGGAGTGAAGGAAGGAAGGAAGGAAGGAAGGAAGGAAGGAAGGAAGGAAGGAAGGAAGGAAGGAAGGAAGGAAGGAAGGAAAGAAGGAAGGAAGGAAGGAAAGAAGGAAGGAAAGAAGGAAGGAAAGAAGGAAGGAAAGAAGGAAGGAAAGAAGGAAGGCAGGAAGGCAGGAAGGCAGGAAGGCAGGAAGGCAGGAAGGCAGGAAGGCAGGAAGGCAGGAAGGCAGGAAGGCAGGAAGGCAGGAAGGCAGGAAGGCAGGAAGGCAGGAAGGCAGGAAGGCAGGAAGGCAGGAAGGCAGGAAGGCAGGAAGGCAGGAAGGCAGGAAGGCAGGAAGGCAGGAAGGCAGGAAGGCAGGAAGGCAGGAAGGCAGGAAGGCAGGAAGGCAGGAAGGCAGGAAGGCAGGAAGGCAGGCAGGCAGGCAGGCAGGCAGGCAGGCAGGCAGGCAGGCAGGCAGGCAGAGGGAGGGAGGGAGGGGAGCAGGAAGGAAGGAAGGAAGGAAGAAAGGAAGGAAGGAAGGAAAGGAAGGAAGGAAGGAAAGGAAGCCCCCCCCCCCAACCGCCCGTTGATTTGTAGAAGGTTTACAGTGATTAACGCACCCTTTGCTGAATCATCACTTCTTCGATCATCATCACCCTTTGTTGAATCATCACTTCTTCGAGAATCATGGGGGGCTGCCACCCCCCCCCCCCCAACCCCGCTGATTTCAGAATATCACTTCTTCGATCATCATCATCATCCCTTTGTTGAATCATCACTTCTTTGAACATCATAGGGGGGGCTGCCGCCCCCCCCCCCCCAACCCCCCTGCTGATTTTGAGAATGTTTACAGAGCTTAACGCACCCTTTTCTGAATCATCACTTCCTCGATCATCACTCTCTTTCTTTCTTTCTTTCTTTCTTTCTTTCTTTCTTTCTTTCTTTCTCTCTCTCTCTCTCTCTGTCTCTCTCTCTCTCTCTCTCTCTCTCTCTCTCTCTCTCTCTCTCTCTCTCTCTCTCTCTCTCTCTCTCTCTCTCTTTTCTCCCTTTTTCTTCATGTTTATATCTCTGTATCTTTTTCGCTTCACTGCTTGCGAAAATGCTGCGCCTGCGTCAAACTCTGCGCCGTACCTTGCAAAAGTGCTGCGCCTGCCGCGAAAACTGCACGCACCTTGCGAAAGCCCTGCACCTGCCGCGAATCTGTACCTGACCTTGCGAAAGTGCTGCGCCTGCCGCGAAATCTGTACAGCGCCTTGCGAAAGTGTAGCGCCTGCCACGAAATCTGTACCTGATCTTGCGAAAGTATTGCGCCTGCCGCGAAATCTGCACGCACCTTGCGAAAGTGCTGCGCCTGCCGCGATGCGAAAGTACTGCACCTACCACGAACTCCGTACTTGACCTTGCGAAAGTGCTGTGCCTGCCATGAAAGCTGTACCTGACCTTGCGAAAGTATAAGTGTTGCGCCTGCCGCGAAATCTGTACAGCGCCTTGCGAAAGTGTAGCGCCTGCCACGAAATGTGTACCTGACCTTGCGAAAGTATTGTGCCTGCCACGAAGTCTGTACCTGACCTTGCGAAAGTGCTGCGCTTGCCGCGAAATCTATACCCGACCTGTCGAAAGTGCTGCGCCTGCCGCGAAGTCTGTACCGTACCTTGCGACAGTGCTGCACCTGCCGCGAACCTGTACCTGACCTTGCGAAATTGCTGCGCCTGCTGCAAAATCTGTACCGCAAAAGTCCTGCGCCTGCCATGAAATCTGTACCTGACCTTGCGAAAGTGTTGCGCCCTCTGCGAAAGCTGTACCGCACCTTGCGAAAGTGCTGCGCCTGCCGCACCTTGCATTGCCAAAGTGCTTCGCCTGCCCTAACAAGTTTTTGCTTGATCCTTTGATTTTTCATTTTCATTGTTTTTGATCCCTAATAGGTGTTTTTGATCTTCAGAAACAAGTTCCTACAAAACACTCCCAAATCCAAATGAGCTCCATGTAAGACCAACTCCCAAAAGACACACAACCAAAAAGAGTGCTTATTTTTCCATGACGAATGGAGGCTTAATCCTCTAACCGTACATGCCCGTATGTAACTTGTTTCAAAGGGATATGATATGTTAAACTTCCGTGCTGGATTTTGTTGGATTGATGGCCCTGGTTCATCTCAAAGGGTTCAACATTATTCCACGGACAGTTGAGCAGCGTGAGGTTTTATACAAACATTTCGATCGTTTGCCATCATCCTACTATGTTCTGGTGGTAGCTATTGCTACAACCAAAGGGTTATAGCAGTGAATCGGGAGTCTTTATAACAAACGTAGGGTCGTAAACCATTTTACCACCACCTTGGTAGAACCAATGAGTTCTGTGCACTGGACATCGAATCCGTCCGGATGGTTTCGTAGGACGCAGGCGGCGCAGCGGGGCTCAACCCCTTCGCCTATTTCTCGGGGGATCTGTGGCCCACCGCCTTGCTGGCGATGACGGCCATCAGCGCCCTCGGCATGGTCAGGCCAGAGCTTTGGATGTCGGGCATCCCGGGAGCCAATGAATCCTGTGAAGACGCAAACCCAAGTGTCAGATATTTGGGGCATGTTAAGGGAAGTTTCAACGGACCCTTCGGGGATGGTCTGTGTTAGGGGGTTCTCAACACGCCTCATTGTCATTCTAACCAAGGGGGCCCCCTGTGGCAACCTCGAGATTTATGACGGTGCCCGTGGATTTTGGCGGAATAAATATAGGCCCTCGCTGTTTGGTTCCCCTGCGACGGGTTTTATCAACCAAAAGGTTTCCTCTTTATGCCAGGGAGGGCCACTGGGCAACTGAGATGCTGAGTGGGACTTATTGAAGCATGGGCCTCCCTGCAATAAACCCTCAGAGTCACTGACAAACTAACTAGAGGCCTGCGGCTTTTGGCCTCAGCCGGGCCGTGAATTGTCTCCCTTTGTCCTGACCTGGTGACTTGCCACCTTCCAATTCAAACCTCGCCACTAGCTGTTCGACGGTTTGTTAAGGCTGTTTTTTCGGGGGTCGGTCGCCAGCCAAAAGGGCCTGGCTGTTGGAACAGGTGTTTGTTATTGCAAGCAATTCCTTCCGGGCAGTTGAACAAGAACGGGCGGCAAAGCCCCACCTCAGGTTGATCCTTTAGCTCAGGTCGTGGATAGCAGTTGCCGGTCACGTTGATTCGAACTTCTTTTGGAACAGGTCACCGACTGCGTTCAACATGAGGAGGGGGGCCAATCGATAGATGGACAGCGCAACAACTAGGGACAGCAACAAGTATGAAACCACCCCCTGGCCAAGTGACCTTGCAGATTGAACAACCCGGCCTATACCGAAGGGAACCACCTCGCACCTGCAGATCGCACAGCCACAGGGGTTAGACAAAGGCTGAGCCAGGAACACTACCAAGACTGAGACACAACAACCCTTTTCTTCAACTGTTCTGCTCCTGCGGCTTGGTGTTCCCCACAAGTTGAGCAAGTTGATATTTGGACAAAACCGTCATAAGCCGTAGCAAGGCCCAGTCACAATCAACTAATCAACTAGCCCCTCCTTGACCAGGACTCGAAACATGGAAGCGTGATTTGTTTAGTTAATCGAGGTTCGCGCAAGTCTGTCCAGAAGACACGAGTTGAACCCAGTAAGACCACAAGTGACCCGAATACCAGCTGATGTAGAGGATCCAAATCATGAACCCTTTGTTTCTTCTGGATGTACTAATCGCCCAACCCATCTGTTATGGCATTGCATTAGCGGGGATTCCTTTCGGGGGTGACCATTTTCTTCGGCAACCTACCAAACCAAAAAGGGAATGAGGGGCAACTGAACAACTAGCACCGCTTGGCTGAGACTGGGCTCTGGTTTCAGGCGAGCAACTTAGGTAGGGATTGGACAGAGGTGGCCAAGCAAGCGCTGTGCTTTGCTGCAGGTGGCGGTGGTGTTCCATCCTCACTTACGTCCTCGTGGCATGTGCAGTGCTTGCCTCAACATTTGTGCAGTAGTGTGAGCTGTGATCATGTTGGTAGTTCTGATTGCTTTGGTTGCTGCATGTTTTGGTGCGTTCTGTAATTGATCTTGTTGTGTTTGTTCCCGGAGTTCTGGATGTTTCGTTTCGGCTTGCTCTAGCTTGTAGGCGTCAACTGGGCAGGAAGCACAATTTTGGAGTGTAGTTTGAAGCTTTGCTTTGACACCTCCTTTTTGGGGATCCCCCACCCATCTCGATGGGCATGCTAAAAACACTTTGCCGGGCCAGCCTTGCATGGAGGGTGGCAAACATCTGGAAGCGCTGAATAAATGAGCGCAACACGCACACCTCAAAAGGACACACTCCAAAGTCAACAGAGCCCTTACCATCGACATGCTTACCAGTTCGAAGGTGAGGGCAGAAAGCAAAGTACAGCGGCCCCTTGTGACAGCAACGTGCTTGGCCGCCACAGTGAATGTTCCTTGGTTTGACCAAATCCTGCAGTCTGGGTGACCTCACCCAACACTGTTGAGTCCTTGTGACTTATTCGACGTTGCTTTCATGGATCTGCCGCATCTTCAGCCTTTTGTATCCTACAAGGGCCTAAAGGGATCGGATATGTTGAATCTCAGCCATGTGTTGCCCAGCTGTCGTCAGGTCTTGCGGAATGTCTACGTGAGCTTCATCTTCGCCCTTTGGCCAAACCCAAGCGCGGGCGCGACAAGGTCAGATGAGGGATGCAGGTGTGGAAATGACTTGCACAAACCGGGTGCAAGATGGCTTTATCATTCATTGGTGACATTTGCCGGAAACCGTTGCGCATCTGGAGCAACCCTCTTGACGCACAAACGAAGCCTTCAAGGGATTGCTACCTTACCTGCCTTGGCTTTTGCCCCCCACTCTAACAACATGTGCTGACCCATATTTGTCTTGAGATGTATGGTCATGTCAAAAGCGCCCCCAGGTTTGCTTCAGGTTGTGTTCGTCAGTCAGTGAGTCTTTGTAGAAGCTGACCATTTCCCCCTGCACGAAAAAGGGACGAGCAATAGCCAGCTTCTTGAGAAGCACTTGTACAATTGCTTGGCCGCTTGCGCCCATGGGGTCATGACCCTTAGGCCGTTTCGGGTGGTCGGTTTGGAGGGGGGCTTTTCTCCGTGGTAGTCTGCGATTCGGGTAAACCATTCCGGGCCAAGGATCGGTATTTGCTGATCGGCCTGCTCTTCAGCAGCTGCTTGCCCTATGACGAGCGCTACTGCCTGGCTTCTGCTGCTCGCGCTGCGATTCGTACCACCTGGCTGTAATGTCGTCTCCGGCGTTCCCCAAAACAAAAACGGTTATCCTCTTGAACTGGGCACCACCTACTAGTCAACTCAAGTCTTCATTGCTTCAACAAAGCGTCCGGGTTGCACTCATATGAGTGTTGAATGCTATAGTCTTCCCAGGCCAGCATTTGTGCAAGGTGCATGGCTCCGGATGAAGGGGTGGGAAAGTGTGTTTTTTTCTTGGTGCCTTTTCGGCTCGCATCAAGTAGAACAAGTTTGCACGTACCTACCTCAAGTTTTCTTTTTCGGGCCTCGCGCACTGTTGGGCGAGTCCGTTTTGAATCAACGGCCAAACACCGGCGAAAAGAGAAGCCTTGAGTTGCCTCTCCGAGTGGCTAAGCAGTTCACTCGACCCCGCCTTGCGCAGTGTCAGTGGCACACCAGTTCCCCTTCAGTGGGATTCCCTGTTTGGAACATCAATCAGCAAACCAGGAACGGTCCTCACTGGCCGCATGTTGTGGGTCGGGACTTCCCTCTTGAAAAAGGATATCTATGCTCTTAGTGCCCAGCCTTCTCCGTCATGGCGAATTGTTTGGATACCTTTTTTGCCAGTTGCGTGCTTCCATACTTTGTCAAGGTCCCGCCGCATTTCGACTGAAAGAGCGGCGAAATGCCCTGTTTTTGTGGCCCCCTGGCTGCCCAAAAGCCAAGGTCAAATGGGGCGTGGGTACGATTTGCAGCTTGGATAGAGAAGCCAAAAGGAAAACCCGCATTTTCGGTTTCAACAAAAACCCAAATGAGTCTCCAACCGGTTGGGGGTTGGCAAGCCATGGCGCGCCGAGGTGCTGTTCAGACTACAGCTGGCCGAAGCCTGAGGTCGAACGGGATGAGCCATGATCCGCAAGGGAGATTCCTTTTGGCAGATTCCAGCCCCTACTCTTCTCCCTCCTGTTTCCTCAAACTGAAACCAAGGTCAAAGACAACCTCAGCCTAGACTTAGACCTTCAGCTGTTAGAGGGGCCACGCGAGATCCACTAAGGCCTGGATCTACCTGGACGCGGGCTATGGGAAAGTGGTATCTGGTGACTGGTCTTTGAGCGCACGGGTCCCGGCCCTGGCAGCTCCTCGGCGATCGGAGCCATTTGCCCCAGGGGGCTGGGCCTGCTGCCGTTGACGTTGATATTTTGCGTTTGGGCTCCCTTCGCAGGTCTTAGAAGCTTCCCATTAACATATCAAGTCATCCACCAAGATGAGTGACATTTGTCCCTGGCCACCTGGACGTTTGGAAAATGCCGCGCAGAAAGCCGCGCAAGCCACTTCCGGGTTTCATCCGAGCACCGAAAATCGACCTGTCCTGCAAGAAGTTTGCTGCAGCCCATTTCGCTTTCCAGCTTGCGTCTAGTTCCCTATCGGCCTATTGGCCAGCATCATTGATTCCCAGGACTTACACCTGTGGATTTCCTTTCGGCACCCGCAACCCTGTTTTCCAACCTATTGCTCGGCAGCCACAAGATCAAAACCCGGGTAAAGGGTCAATCCCAATTCCATACATAGGTGCGGATATTCGCCCGTTGGTTCTTTACATGACTTTGGATTAGTTAAATACCAGGTTTCGAGTGCGACACGTAGAAAGCTCTCGGGTCAGGTCTACCTCCAGGGAGCCTCCTGGGCTCTTCCGCTGCTCGCCTGGGACCGCAGCCATGCGGCTGGCTGTTTGGTGCGGGTGGCGACCTGGGGCACTGCGTGGGCGGCTCCGATGAATTCGCTCCAGGTAGTTAACAGAAGGTTCTGAACCGATAGTTTACCATCTACCCCAGATCCATGACTAAACGTGGTTTTGAAGTACCTCAGAACCCCATTCTAATGATGTAAGTCTTTGTGCTACATTTGGGGGCGTGATTTATCGAGGTACCCTTGTCTGGCTGCTGTATTTCGAAACCATGAGGAACAGCACATTTTGTTGTGGGTCCCATCCCCATTTTGGCATTGAGGGGCTCTCAGAATTACTGTTGGGTCCCGGTCGCTACCCTTCAAGCCACAAAGTAGAGGATCAAAATGGATGTCACATTTCTGAACCCAGCGAGTTGCCTATGCTAAGATGGCTTTACTGGGATCGGGATCCGGATCCGTGTCCCCAACCCTAGAGCACTACTCCACTTAGCCTCTGCCTGTGCTTTGAGGCGGAGGTCTTGGTAGCTCCAATCCTGCTGGCCGCTGCAGTCTTTGGTGCTTCAGTGGCCTGGCCAGTCTACCAATAGCCCAGAAGTGACCTTCTCCAGGGTGCCATTGTTGCTGCCTTTCATTGCCCCAAAGGGACAACCAACCATGAAAGGCCACCCTTTCTTGAGTTAGGCGCTGGTAGCATGTATTTTGTTGCTTTAAATTCCAGATTCCAAGCGAGTCATGCTTTGCTTGCTCTATCCGCGGCCTCTTGCTGAGGTAACTGTCATCGAAAGTTTCGATGACCCTGTCAGCCTATGAGAAACTACTGTGGACTCAAGATTTGGCGATAAATAAGACCCCTGACAATTAATTTGACGCTGACTCAAATCAAGGATTTGTAAGCCCCCTAGTTGACTACTAGTGAGAGTGTGGTTTGGTAGAAATATGCGTTCTTACAGTTTACAGTTGCTTTTGGGGGTCAGGGGCCACCACAAATCACTCCCAGCCTTGTTTTGCCTTGTCTGGCCCTATGGGCATGGAGGCTTTGCTGCTACAGATGTTGGCATTCCCATGGCTGGGAGAGAAACCGACGGAGGCCCAGCTACTGCCCATGGCGCTGGTTCTGCTATTGCACGTTGGCCGCGTGGCTGGAAAGAACGCGCTGTGGGGAATTCGTGCTCGCCCTGAAATTGAAGACGATGCCATGACTTATCCATGCAGCATTTCATGCCGGCAGTGCATTTCCCTTGATTGTTGGAGACCTTTGTTTTTGGAATCACCCAATTGGACTCAGTTACCAGAGCTGCACGAAGCAGTGTTTTCCAAGGTTCATGGGATCCCCGATGTGAGGTTTGTTAAAGGACCCAAAAAAAACTACAAAACAATAAGTGGTTTCAGGGATGGTAAAGGCTTCCTTGCATAAGGTTTGGGTTCGGACCTTCGGACCCCCAGGAAACCTGGGGCAGTTTCCAATCGACTTCATTTTATTGCCAGACTTAACTGACCTTTTCACCCTTGGCTCTTTTGGTTGGGGGTCGATTTGGCCAGTCAGATTTGGTATCCGGGAGCCTTAGGCATCGGCTGTTGCATGGAGGGGGGCTTCTCTATTGGCCTGGCAGCGGGCAGCGTGTGGCTGGCGCTTCTGCCGACGGAGGCTCGGGCAAATTTGGGAAGCCTAACCTTTCCTGGCTGAGTTTGCGAGCCACAGCTACCTGTGCTGTGGCTTTTGTCAATGCAGCTTTGTACCTCACAGTTACTGAACCAAGACAGCGCCGCGGACAGCGATGTTTGTTGTGACCTAAGCTTAATATCAGTTTCACGACTCCTTCAATACCTTTCTTGAAAGATCCCTCTTGGACTCCGAGAACTTCCAGGGAATATACCGCTCAAAATGCGAAAGCGGAAGGCGATGCCTCTTGGCCAACCACAGCGAGCTGGCCCGATATATAGACCCCTTAATTACTTGGGGAAGTCATCTTGAAGTCTTGGCGGTTTGTGAAGAATCATTTGCCACAGATGCTTGACATTCAATCCACTCCAAAGTAAGCCCTACATTTGGTGATGTCTAGAATAGTTAACAGTTAAGCCACTTCTCAAAGCAAAAGACAAGTAATCAAGTCAGCACTAGCACAACTCCGAAGAATGGCCTTGCCTCCTGCTAGTCAAATCCTTTGTTTACTCGGACAACACAGTTTTGACGGATTGTTAGGCCCGAAAATTGGTTTAGTATCGGCCACTGCTAATTTGGTGTTGGGAGGTTGGAGTCTGTGAAAATGATGTTTTAATTGATAGGGCTGCCAATTTGTAGTTGTTTGGTTGCTTGCGTCGTTTGTTTCATCCCAAGGCAAATGAATTTCCAACTTGAGCGCAGGCCCCGAAGGCCGACCGTGGACTCCGCTGCCGAGCCTTGGGGAAAGGCAGGCTTTCTTGGTGGTCGGGACATTTCGGCTCAGCTCTCGGGCCGCTGCGATGTCGGTATACCCTGGGGCTCCTCCAAAACTCGTTCAATTTTTTGGGCAGGCTAAACTTGACGAACCTGAAATCAGGTTTTGTTGGTGCACCCGGCATCGGGCCAAGATATGTCCAAATGGTCAGGCTATGACTATCAGTCAGTCAGCAACTATTTTGCTATAACCTGCCGATGTCCTTTGCCGGCTCACAGGTACTGACGCAATTGATACAGTCGGTCTATTGCATTGTCTGTACCTTACGAATTTCCCCACTGAATTTGAAAAAATAGGCCAGGGTGAATGGAAACTCTGGATGAATAACTTGTCAGTTCTAACCAGGGGGGATGTGCCCAAGGGCAGCGATGCGGACGCCCAAGCAAAGGGGACATCTTTTCGGCCACCGTTGTTCCTTCTGACGCTTACTTCTCCGGCACACCAACCCAGTTTTTTCGTGTCATCCTTGTCCCTGTTTTGTTCGGCGGGTTCCCCACGCAAACATGATAAACCCCGCAAAATATGGATTCCTTTTTCCACCTTTCCGGTCACTGGTTGCACCTTGAAACCAGCCCGAAGGAAGAACGACACCCCTTGGCTCCAGGGTACTCCTCTTTTGTCGAACTAATTGGACTAGCGAACCTCAAAGTGCAAGTTTGACACCTTGCAGATGCCATTCTGGAAGGTGCGCTGTTTGCCTCCAAGCAAGGTATGCCTTGGTGTTTTAAGTGCGGGGTCCATTGAAGGAACCTGCCGATTCGTTTGGCGCAGGGGACTTTGGGGCGCTGGCCTGGGTCTGCTGCTCGGCCATCTTCGCGCTGAGTGGCCGAGAGACACAGCCAGGCCCGGCGCGACTGGGGGGGTGGACCTTAGGATGGTCCCGTCCTTTCTTTTTGCATCACCTAGTGATCGCCATCGTAAACAAGTTGCCTTTTGGCAGTGTGGTTTCCAAGACGTTTGAGGAAAGAAGGAGCCCTGCTTCGGCGCGATTCAAACATCTCCTTTTGGAAAAGGACCTGAACTTCCTGTCGGAAAAGTCCTCCTGTTTTGACCTCAGACATGTGGAGTTTCACTCGGACGTAAATTGATCAGCCAGGAGCATTGCCTACCCTTTCGTTTGCTCCTCTGCTCACTTGTCCACAGCCAACCTGTTGCCCTTTTGGTTTTCCCTTTTGGGTTACGGCTGAAGGTGAGCGTTCCCGAGCGCTGGAGAGGTCGAAATTCAGGGCTGGGCTGCCGCCACCTCGCTGAGGCCCTGTGCCGACAGTGTTGCTGCTGAATCGCTGGCAAGTGCCCCTTGGACGAAGGAAGTTTGGGGCTTGGGTTTCTGGTTGCTGTTTTAACACATTACCCGTTGGTTGCGAACTTGGGATGCCTTGGGGTGATGTATACGCCCTCTTCTGGCGCTCAGCCCCGGGAACCACGGTTGTGGAAAGCGGTTTTAGGGCACCGCTTGCGCCCTTTCAACTGAAGCGGAATGGGAATCCCACTTTGGTATCTTAGAAAGGGGCCCCATGTTCTATGGGCATGAAAGAGGCTTTGGGGGCTGAAGCTGAAGCTGCTGCGTGCTTGATTGGATTGTGGGCAACTGGTTCTCGCCAGCCTGGGTTGTTGTGTCTCCCGCCGCACCCAGGTTCACTGGGGCTGAGACCAACGTCAACTGGGAGGCGCGGTCCCTCCGGCCCAACCGCTGGTACTGGCCAAAGCGTTTCAATGGACGTGGGGGTGAGGGGGGTTACTCACCGCTTAGCTTGCAGGAATGTCGCCTGAGTTGGGATTCCTGCCTGGCAAGGGTGGAAAAGACGCCCAGCGATCCCGCGGGGGCCAAGGGCCGTGTTGCTTACACCTCGGAGAAATTGAGGAAGATCAGCCTGAGCCAAGCCTCCACAAGCCTTGTCAGCTTGGCTGCCGACCATTACCCATAAGTGTTTCCAACGCAGTCTTGTTGGCTTCCACTTGTTCAATTTTCGGTCAAAGTCTCAAAAGAACGGTTCAGAAGACCATGACACAGCTTACCCCCATCCTGCTGGTCCTCCGTGAAGATAGGTGTGACCTGTATGAGCCAGTTTCCTTTGCTAGGGTCTCGGGAATTGTTTAATAAGTCAAAGTTAGCAAGTTATGCAAATTCGAAGCAGGTTGAACCACAATCAGAATGCAAAGGATCAAACTCCCCCCAATCCTGGGGAAGTTCCCTGCTCTCAGCGCCAGCAGCGCCCTCCGAACGTCCGAACGCCACGCGAGGTGGCGCCGGCTCGTTTGGCCGACGGTAGCGTGGTGGACCTTTGGAGCTGGCAAAACGTGAGCTTCGCCAAGCCTCAGACCTACGGACCGGAGTGGGTTGGATTCGCGTCCGGCCGGACAACTCCCATTTTTCGGGTGTCAACTTGGTCGAGGGTACTTGTTTGGTGGTTTTAACGGGAAGCCAAAGGGGAACCAAATTTCAGGGGAGGTTTCCGCCAAGCAAAGGCCTCGTGAGGTGTGTGTTGGTGAAATGGGGGAGTGGGACCTGTGATGAAGATTTGTTACTTTGGGATTCCCGATGTCCTTTCCGGTTGCAAATTGCATTGCTTGCGCAACAGTGTGACTTGAAACCGTATGCTGGATATTTCAAAATCCATTCAACCATGCCCCCATGATCTGTAGTCCGCAAAGCGCAGGGTCTAATCCGAATATAGCTTTCTTTCCAATCCGCTAGTCATCCGGGTTATGTTTCGAACAAGCTATTTGTTCAAGATCATGTTATTCAGGCACCATTGCTTCCCCATCGAGTTGCTTACACCCTAGCTTCAAACAAAGGTCCACCTTGCTTCTCCCTTTGGTTTCAGTCACAAGGTTTTGAACCTTCAGGTACTTACTCGGAGGGACTTACCTCGAAAAGGGCCCTTCCCTTACAGGCCCAACAACCATTTGCACCTGTTGTGGCCCGATGGACAGGTTAAACTTAGTTCCTGAATCAAACATGGCCAACCTCTATCACATGGGAGGATCCCCGTCAGCTTCCCAGCAAAGCAACACCCAGCAAAAACAATAAGCGAATTACGGACTGTGATTAAACCCCAATGGGTTTCGAACACGACCAGAAAAAGGTCGAGCAAAAGCGGCGAGAGGCCCCTTTTATAGGGGACTCATCATTGCAGTCCGTCTCAAAAGATCTTGGCACCGGGAGCCAAACCACTTCGGTACCTCCACAGGAAACCACCCCCTTTTACAGGATGCGTGTTGTCCATTATTCCTTTGCCTTTTGCATCTCCATTGCTGAGCTTCAAACTTCTTTGGGAAAAGGACCCTAGTAATTAATAGACAAAAAGTAACCTTCCTGCTTCCCTTTTTGGAGGCTTCCCTACTTAAACTACAAAGTCATCAACCTTTTAGCAAGTGACTGAACAGGGTGGCTTCCAATGAAGCCGCTTTTCGAGGTCCACGTGGGTTCCAGAGATTGAAGGAAACCACGCAAAAGTCAAAGTGAGAGCACACAATAACCCACTATGCTGGTTTAAAGAGCAACCACCCCAACAGCCTCAAAATGGAATCGCTTTCAGGGGCGCTTTCAGGTATGAGGTTTGGCAGTATTGCGTTACAAGCTTGTATCGGTATGCGGCAGCCGTACCTCCCAAGAATCATAACACCTGGAAATGCCATTCTTCGGTCGCTTCCGCTTTCCAGGACGGCGGGGGAGGTGGCTGAGCTTCCCCAGCGACCGGCCAGGGTCGGCGGCGGCGCTGGACGCGCGCTTCCAGTTCCTTTGTGGCTCGAGCACAAGTGGACCCTTGGGAGGGAGCGAATTGGGGAGGGGACGAGTCATGAACCCCTGGGAGGGGGCCATTGGGGGGGGGGCTATCCATGGAAAAAGCCAAGGATTTGGTATAGTTTGTTGCCCTTGAGATGCGCGCCGACTTCCAACTGTGTGTGTGTGTGTGTTTTTTTTTGGGGGGGGGTGCCCCTGAATACTGGTGGGCACCTTTGTCGTTGCCTTGCTGAGTCAAGACCCTCTGGACGCCGAATCTTATCAGCCTTGGCGGCGAGGCTTGTCCCTGACTAACAGGAGGATAAGTTTCTATTGGTCCCAGACCTCCTATCAAAGGCACCCCCGAGAGCGTGTGGGGGCAAACAAGCAAGGACGCCTTGTGGAAGATATGGGTTGGCTGGCCAACATGACTTTAATGACCGTTTGCCCTTTTGGCTGCCCTTCATTGTACTTTTAAGCGGCAACAAAAGACAAGCACAGAGTTTGCAGGGGTTTTAAGAGTCTGGCCAAGACTCTCCCGGCATGCCCAGCACCCTTTGGATCTGCCTATAAGACACTGAGAGCGCCTGTTGTCACCAATGAGAGTCCAGGATTGATAAAACCCTGGTTGGTTCAGAAGGGAGTGCAATTCAATTTGAAAAGGATTGGGATCCTTCCTTTGCGAGACAGGTGGCTCGGTTCCCAAGTTTATTGATGCTCGTTTGTGAGACGATCGTAGATGAACAACACGTGAGCTTCTGCGCAGATGCGTTTTGATGTGTTTTTTGGACTATTTTCGCAGTTCGATTGCAATGTCCTCATCCCAAGACCCCTCAGCGGAAGGTCAGCAATTTCTAGTTTCCTTGGCCCGAAAGGATAGACAATTGTTTGGGTATGTCAAACTTGCAACCTTTGTAAGCTGTTGGTGCCATGGACGCCTGACACCAGTCCAGAAGCTTCCTTGGTGTCTGCCAAATCTCTCGGCCAAACGGAAAACTGGACTTCTGCACCTATTGCGTTGGTCCCATGATTCGAGGAGTGTCCCAGAGTCAAAGAATCACAGCCCTTTCCCTCAAGACAACACAGGTGCCTGTTCCAAGCAGAAACACTCGTGTCACTCTTCAAAAGGCTTCTCCCAGGTTGTTTGGAATATGAAGATTCTGCTCATATGTGTGCGTTTTCGGAAACACACTTTCAGAGTGGTTTCATTTGGTTCTCCTATTGTCGCGTTACTCACGCCTTCAGCGGCCTTCCCGCTCTCCGAGTTAAAATGCAAGCCGTTTCTCCCTGAGTTCCGGAAACTCGAATAGGTCGGTGTCTAGATAGGTCGGAGGGGTCATACGCTAGTAAGGCTTATTCCAACCATTGGTTGCATGGGGTCTTTGGGGGAGGGTTGGATCCTCAGAGGCGAGCAAGACCCTTGCCCCTTCTCTATGGAAGGCAACCGCCAGCGGAGGTTCTTCAACCCCTCGAATCCCATGGCAGATTGATGGGAAGCTACCAGCAAATCGCGAAATCGGCGATTCTGGGAAATTGGGTTGATTTGCGCTGCACGCTTGGATTGACGAGTAAGTTGTTGTACTGTTTATGGGTGTGTGTGTGTGTGTGCTTTTTTAAGGGACCTTCCCAAAGAAAGACCAACACAGGGGTGGTTTTCCTTTTTGTCCCCGTTTAAGACCATACAAAAGGGGTACCCTCAAAAAAGCCACGCCCAAATGCGTAATTTAGACAAGCATGCCCAGGGATTCTGTTCCCCCCACCCCACCCCTCCCCCTTGTTCACAGAGGGTTCTAAAATGATTACCAACATGTTGCGCCCATGATCGTGACTTACTTTGGCATCAAGCAAATTGTTCGATTTGTTTTACAGCCCTTGTAGTTTAGTGCAGTCAGTCGACACAGACAGTAGCACAACAGGCACTTGGATGTGCAAAAGAATCCTGGACCGCTGAAAGTCTCTTCAGCTGCCCGCAAATATTGGCAAACATCTAGGGGCCGCGATGACATACTTACGCATGTTTCTGCTCCGGGGCAGTTTGCAAGGGTTCAATCTCCTGGTGCTTGCGTGGCATACCAAATGCGAATGTATCACAGCCACATGAATGATGTAATGGCTTCATATGTATTGCTGCAACAGGGTCCGTTTGAAGGCGTTTCGACAGATATGGAGACGCACCGCAAGCACGCCAGTCACAGCCAGAGAGACAGAGACAGCCGCAACCCCGTGCCCGCTTTTGGGCCTGTGAAGCACGCCATGCGGCCGGCCATGTCTCAGCTGGTTCTGGTCTTGGTGGCGTTTTCCGCCGGGATTTCGCTGAGCAGAGTGGGGCTCAGCCTAGGTGGCACTGAGGCGGACTTGCTGAGACTCGGATTGGGCACAGTTTTCGAGCGTATGGGCTGTTCAACTGCAAAGCCCCATAAGGTTAGGAAAGAATTGGGTTCATAGGACGTTCAGATTGAAATGGAAGGCGAAGGTTTCTCCTTAGCATGGGCTCAAACCCGCTGGCCCGGGTCTGGTTGGTTGGTTGATCGGTAGGTTGGGCGGTTGGAAAGCCATCGCATGCCGGCACTGGGGTGGGCGGTTGGGAGGTGAAGGGATGTCCTATAGACCCACGGGGCTTTAAAACGGATCCTTCGCGTCCCACTTGCCAGCGATTTCCCCATTGCGAGCTACCGAGTGCGGCGCCTAGGAGGTTCAAGCTCGCTGCCGCCTGGGGCGCAGGGCCCTTCCCCTGGACGGTCGAGCCGCCTTCGCTTCTAATGGACCTCTCGCAATTCACGCACCGCACCCAGTGGCTCGGCTCGGGAAATATCGCATGCTCTTGTGTACTGATACGCCATGTAGCTTAAGGGGACGATAGGGGATAGATGTCGTGTCTGTAGAAATCATGTTGTTGGGTGCTCAATGCGGCACTCTTACATGTAATGGAAGCACCGCTGGAGTGAGCCCGCCCTGCGTGAGTGTGCTAAGAAAATAGGGTAATAGGGGTAGATAGGGCAATGGCTGTTGTCATGCGCCAATGTCTTCTGTACACCCCATACTTGGCCTAAATAACCTAATGTATCATGGCTGTACGTAGTGTTTTGCTGAGCGGGCCTTTAATTGCAACCGCACAAGCCAGCGACTTGGTCATTGTCCAATGTCTAGTGGAGATAACAGCATCGTTTGACCGTAGCTCATGGGTGTCTCACAAATTTCACACAACTAGGAGACCCTTGGCGGGTTGGCTTCCCAAGCAAGACTAAAAGGACGTTTCTGTAGGCAAGCTTCAGGGACCTCAAGAAACCAGACGGAAGCCATAAGAAGGCGAAACTATTTTGCTGGAGTTTATTCACCGTGTATGGGTTCTGGATACAAAGAGCTCACAAGCTACTGCCCCTGAGGAAAATTCCCTCCCATCCTCCACCAACATGGAACTTGACCGAGGGTCCTGGCAGACCTGTTTTTCCGCAGGGTTTGGGGGGGGGGTTTGGGGGGTTCTCCTGCACCGGTCACACCGGTCAGGTACCTCAGAAGCGGCCTGCCGGAGCTGCTGGCCAAGGGCCTGTGCTTAGACATCGGGCCCAAGCATCGGCCCATTTTGGACCCGAAGTGCCCTGGCACATCCGGACCGGTCGACATGTCCAGTCTGTGACTGTGACTGCGAGCTTCGTCTCTAGCTGGTCTTCAAGAGGTTCGTGCGAGTTTTCCCTGGGTTGGTTTCCCCTGGGTTGGTTTCCCCTGGGTGCAAATCAGATGCAAGTCCTCGCATGAACCTGTGCGGTTTGCGGTAGTTTGCATGCCCACATACCTACTTTTCCGGACTTGATGTCAACCCCTAACAAAAAAAGAAGGTGTTACCACGGAAAATCAATCGTTTCGAGATAAACCCTACAAAAAGGCGGGTATGGAGGAGGGTGTGCTGCGCTTGCTTTTCCTGTGTGAGGCACCCAAATTCGCGGTTCCTGGACCACGCTACCAGGGAGGAGATTCAGAAGAAGTACGAGGATTTTGGGAGCATGGATCAAGTGCCCTTCATCCACTACGCGGCTTTGTCCAAATCTATCTCTGATCATTTGATCATTTTAGTTCTTGGAGCCCAAGCTGGGGGTGAAGAAAGCCAACCGCCTGGTTTAACTGTGGTAATGGGTTGCCTCAGGGCCAACGGTTATAACCTTTCAATTGCTTTGCTCGCTACGGGCACTTGGCAGTGCAAACAGGCTGCTCAAATTGGAATAACAGCTCAAACTTGTTGAACTTGAACCAAGGCATCCAGCAAAGCTCCCAAGAAGGATCCTTACTCCTCAAAGCACTTGTTTTCTGGGCGGGAAAAAGACAACTTGACCAAAACACCGTGCCGTGGTCTTTTTGGGGCTGTGAAAGGGTCACCGATCAAAACAACCTCAGTAGAACCAGAGATCCAGGGGTGTCGCGCGCTCACAGATAGCTTCAGGTTTGGGACCCCAGCAAGACGTACCGGGACCTGGTGGGCGACAGCCGGTTTCAGGCAGGGGGCATGTTGCCAGACCCGAGCCGGCCCAAATGAGGTGAACTGTGTTGAAACAATTGGTGTTTAATCATGGCTGAAGCAGGTTGAATCGCCCACTGGTTTCAGGTGGTGTATGCCTCACATGTCGTGGAGCACGTGCCAGACCTGGTGAACTTTCTGAACGATGTCGCCTCTATTCTGGTGGATGGCGGCGAGTTCAGGCTAGCCGTGCCAGACAAGCGGCAGCTTCATTTTCAGACTTAACGAGCCTGTTTGCCCTTAAAGGCCGATTTCCTCCGTTTCCCTTTTTGACCAGCAAAAGTCACTCTTTGTTTCGACCAACATCACCTTTGTGACTGAAAGGCCAACCCAGGTATTGCTTCGACTTTCGCCGCAGGATGACCACGTTTGCCGACATCATGGGGGCTCATTATGACAAGTGCGCAGCGAATCCGGTGTCAGGTGCCTATGACGAGCTCACTTTGGTCCCCCCAAAGCACAATGACGCGCCGATTTTGTGGGCTAGCTATCCGCAGGATGGCAGGGTTGGGCTTGTTGTTTAAGCATGTATGACCCTCTGTTGAAACAACCTCCATTTGGCTTCCCAGAGCACCAGGGTCCAACCCCAGGACGGTGACCCTGTGCAGTACCATGATGATGCCATGCGGGACATTCAGGACAGCCTCCACCAGACTGGGGGGAAGTCTGCGATGAACCCAGGGATGCACCGCTGGCAGTTTATCCCTGGCTCATTCGTGGACATCATCGTAGCTTGCTGTGCGCATAGCAAGCTCACCTGGGGGGTGGGAAAACGAGCTCGCTATGAAGCTACTTTGGGTTTCCAAGCTTCCAGCTTCGGTATTGCAACAGCCCAAAGTAGGAGGTATCAAGGAATGATCTAGTTCAAGTCAACGCCCCCAAACTGACTTCAAAGCCGAAGAAACAAAACTTGAGCCTGGTTCGCCGTTCGGGGGGTCACGGACAATACCGAAGAGGGACCCGTCTAAAGCAACGGGCAAAGGCGGTTTTATTGGCCCTTCGTGCCAGCTTTCGGTCCGCCTCTTCTCAAATCTTTACCTTCCCTTCCAAGAAGAAACATGTTGTTTAACTTGTTGCAATGGTTGTGGAGCATGATTTTTTAGGGCCACAGTCTGCAATACGAAGAGAGTTCCGTCAAGTGATAGAGTAGTAAAAACAATAGGGATGGCCGGGTCCACTTTCCAAGAACACGGGCAGAATCAGGGTTTGGCTGAGACTGAAGGTACACGTTCTGTGCGTGTGTTGGCTGGATGCTTTGCAACTGGTTTCCATCATGGGGTCTGCCCGACTTTGCTGAGGCAAGGCTGCACAAGGCGAAGCTCACGTCCCTCTTTGTTCGGCCGGGCAGCGTGGTTGAGACGCGACCAGGCACTACCGAGTTTTTGGTCACCCTTGTGAAGTCGTGATGCGAGCGGCCAATAGAGCCTGTGCACGTCCGCATAACCCACTCGCATGGAAAACGGCGTACGCCCTTGCTAGTGCTTGTGTGCGTCATTCCGCTCTCCCCTCAAGACCTTGGCAAAAATCGCTCAGGTGTCATTTGCCCATAGACTCACTTTTGGGTGACGTTTTTCAATTCGAACTCCAAAGTTCAAAAGGAGCTTTGGGTTTTTGGCTGCCAACCGCAACCCTTTGTGAGGTCGCTGTTGCGTATGCCACCAGGAAGGCCATGGTCTCACAGTGGGAACTCATGGGAATGAGGAAGATGAGGTTCACCCCCCCCCCCGGCTTACTCCGACATCAAGTGTACCAAGCCGAGCAACCCAATTCTCCAGTGGCTCCCGTATGTTGTTGTCGTTTGAGGGCTTTGCAATTGAAATTTCAGCAAAACCCGCAGTTGCAACATTGGGGATTGCCCGTGGGTACGAGAGCGGGCTACTTTTCTGGGCAGTTCTGGCTTTGGTTTTAGTCAGAACTTGTTCGGTTGATGCTCTTCTGCGAGTTGCTTGCTTGCTTTCAGCATCTTTCAGCGAGCAAAAGGGGTGTAATGATGTGTAGTGCCTTTTGAACAAAGCCGAACAATCCAGCAAGAAGTCCGGGGTTCACGATCAAAACCAAACCACCGCCCCTGTGGGCGGCAGCCCTGTGCTCCCCATTTTGAGGCGACGAGTGGGATCAGACTCACGAGGTGCCGGTGCTGAAGTTTCAGCTCTTTGAGCTTTGGGCGCAACTGGGCCATGGTCTCGGAGTTTGCGAGTCAACTGCAATGCGCTTCTTGTAATGCGCCCCAGCGCATCAACGTAGCGGAACTGTATAGGTTTGAGATAGCACATAACTGGTGGGCACGGTCTGTTTGAACAAGGTAAGGATGCAAGGGGGTCGGCCTGGGTTATAAGCTTCGTTGTTTTACCTGCACGCCGGCTGCTAGCTACATGTTTGGACTCTTTGGCATCCGCGGGGGGGTTGGGAGGGTTGGGCCTCGGTGACTTTGTTTTAAAGCAGTGCGGCACAAACAAAGGAGGTTCAGCTTTGTTCCATGGAGCGTGTGTATGCTTCGCCTCCACAAAACATGGTCAACAACTGTGTGTTCCGCCTGGGCGCAAGTTATCGTGTGTCCTTAAAAGGGTGGGCACCTTAAACAGCCCCAACAATGTGATTTTAACAAGGGCACGACCCTGCTTACAAATAACTGGCAACACAGCCCTGGGAGGTTTAACGCAACTGTTTGAATGCAAACGGTGAAGTTGTTTGATTGCTTTTTACGGGCACTAATTAGTGGCACCTTGTTTGCCATTTCCTCTGAAGGAAATCAACAAGGCACGGCGCTTGTTTAGCGATTGAGACCCTCTATTTCAGTGTTGTTTGTGGTGTTGTTCTTTGTGTGGTGCGCGTTGTGTATGTTTTGTTGTTTCTGTTGAAACGAGAGATGCTCACCCGCCCAAAGCACATGAACTTGAAATGACCTTCAATGACCTTCTGGCTTTCAGAGTTCCATGGTCAAGGCAAGAGGCAATAACAGTATTACCTAAGGCATGTAGGGAAGGGAGGTAGTACCTTAGGGAAGGGAGGTAGTACCTCCAGCCAACATACGTAGAGTCGTTTGTTTTCCTGATTAGGAGTGGGGATTCTGTTTGTTCAAAAGGCACGTGAGGCCAATGCAAGCAACCTCAACCGGCACCCCGTTGTACGGGGGGGAAGGGGCCTCAAATCCATGCATTTCCTTGGAATGTGGCACATGGGAAATGATGTGTGGAGGGAGGGACCGCGTTTTCCCGGTTGGGGGCAGGCCTGAAATCCCAGGCTCATGCAAGTCACCCTGTGGCATAAACATCGCATGCGCAGCAGGCTTTTCCACATTTGGAGATGTTTGTGTGCATATGAGGCACCGAATGCGTTCCACGATAGCCAGGTTCAACGGCGGCCGATTTTGTTTTTGAATCGGTGCACTTGAAACTTTTGGCGCCATGGGGGACCGCTTTTTGGCTCCAATGTATAACTTTGAGGGAGTGTGTGTGTGTGTTGTGTATGTGTGTGCGTGTGTTTCATTGCTCGGCAGACTTCAAGCTTGTTCCCACGGCTCAATGGCCATCCAGTGATCGTGTTTTATCTCGCGGGAGTTGTCAAAGTTTGTAGGGGTTGATGTCCCATTCCTTTCAATCATCGTTCTTTTCAAAAAAAAGAAGAAGAAGCAAACAACACATTTGGGAGAGCCCCTTGGAGCGCTAAAGGCCCCGACTTGCAGCTGCGCGGGCCCCGCTCGGGATTTGGGGCGAGCATCAGATGTAGGTCGCTGAGCTAGAGCCTGCCCTCGAATTACCCGCTGTCTTTAGGATATACTTTGAACATGCGGTTTGCGAGACTATCCACCCTCTTTTGGTCAGAAGGGTTAACGGTTAACACACTGGGCGTTTGGCGATCTCAAAAGAATCCCTCCAAAACAAGGGGAGCACTGGAAAAGATGATTCTTCTTTGCCAATTTCAAAGAAGAGGCCCTGGAACGGGCTGATTACCGGAAAGCGCTCAACCGCAAGCTTGCAACATTGTGAAGGATGATGGCCCACATCTCATGAACACTGTGCAAAATGATGTTCAGGGTTCTCCAGGACATGTTGTTGCTCGCTGGCCTAAGGGGTTGGAAACGAAGAACGCCCAAAAGGGTTGAACAAGAGCCTGGAAGCCACTGAACTGGGAAAGGCCCAGGTGAGGATTGCGCAAATCCAATTGCAGTTGTTGAATGCTGCATGGCATTTCGCCTTTGAGCATAGACAAATCTTCCTAGCTGAAAGATGCTAGCGAATTGTGGCTTTTCGGACTTCATCGTCGAGCTTCTTCCCGAAGGCTTCGACCAAAACTCGTTGGTAAGTTTGCCCGGATAAACTTGGATCATATCCTGCTACTCGAAGAACCTACACAAAAGTGGGTGTATACCTGCCACCAGTCGAAAAGCGGTTGAAGAACCTGGTGTTGCTTCCTGAAACCCGTACAAAAACCGTACACAACCCGTATATTCCATATGCTTGTTGAAAACCAGGTTACTCATTTGAAAACCAGGTTCAACAGAACGGTTCTGTTTCGTAGCCCGTTCTTTGTAGGATTTTGCAGTAGCAGGATTAGACGTTTTTGAGGCGATGTTTTTTTGTCTGAAAATGGCAACCATGTCACTTACCTGCACACCATCCTTGAAATATGAATCCCAGACTGTCCCATCTCGGGATTTGGCTGAAACGCAAGAAACGAGGCGCTTTGCAACTTCACAAGGGCATTTAACCAGCTTCGCTGCATTGAAGCCTTGCCAAGGCAGCCACCAAAGAAAACGCTGGTGCGGGTCCACGATTGCGTGAAAAGCGAAGAAGGAGCCGAAAAGCAGCTGAGCTGCGCGCGGAAGTTGCGGTTCGGGTTTCGTTTCAGGGGAGGTGTGCGAGTTTGCGCTTCGGAATCACTTGCCCGAAGCAAATGGTATGTGTGGTTTCCGTGCCAGCTTCAGCAAGCCTGCAAAGGATAGATTTTGAGGAAAATTCTCCAGCAAGTCACAACCTTCTTGCCCGCTGCAAGCACCGAGCCTTCTAGCATATTATGCATATTCTAGTCTCCAGTAACCGGCTGCTTGTGCCGCCTTTGTGAGGAGTACCGAGACACACCCCGTGTCGCCGCTTTGTCATTCCTGGGGAAACCATGGGAGGGTGCTGGCCAAGAGTGTTGTGGATAGATACGGCGCACAAGCGCAGCGTTGGGGCTGACGTGGCACCAGTCGGCCAAGCTGTCACAAAACGACCTGCAAACATTTGCCTTTCATTCATAAGAATTCGGGCCCGAGCATCTTTCAGAAATGTTACCAGAAGGTGGATTGATGCGGGCCCAAGCCAAGGAAACCGAGGCCGGTTTGTTGGGGATGATGTCCCCAAGGAATTACCCACACTTTAGAGGTGTTCACCCACCCCCGTGCGGTACGTGTAGCCCTGAAAGCGGCACATATCAAGGGTGCCAAAGCGGGGACCCTGATTTGTTGGCAACCCTCCACATGAGACGAGCAAGTTGTCTATTGATGTTGCCTTCGAGCAAATGAGTCCTGATGGAATGGTTTTGCTGCCTCGTCACGCCCCTGCCACTTTGTGTTGCTGTTGGCTCAGTATGCCAAGTTCAACCAGCGGCCATGAAAGGGCTGTCCTCCGAAGCTCAAGGATAACAATGGAAGCCTTGGTTGAAGGTATTTTCAACATGCTGCCGACAAAAGCAACGCAGATGATTACCTTCCGGCTAATTTGGTTGCAGGCGAGACCAGCTAGTCTCAAAAGGTTCTGAGGAGATAAGCCTTGTCTTACCTTTGACACAGTTTTGGGGATTGTTTGCGAAAGGAGCCAAACAACAACCGCTCGCTCCAACCACCCCAGAGATTTCATGCCCTTTCCCTCGCCCAGTGCAGGGCTTCAAAGACCAGGACGCCTCAATTCATCTCTGAAAGAGTCTTCTCAGAGATGCGCAGACACGACTCACTTCACTCGCCTCGCCTCCGATTCGCCTCCGTTTCGTCTGTCCGTTTCTCCGCCATGGCGGTGCTGGCGGCGGTGAAAGCGTCGCAGCTCATGGTGGCCTTCCTGGGCTTCGCGGCGCGGGACCCGAGACCCAGAGACCGGGGACCCGCGAAAGGTCCGGTGTGCGGGTTCGGCTTGCCGCGAAGACGGCCGCAAACAGGCTACCCCCCAGAAAGGACGCGCAGATATAGTTCTATCGGTTCTATAATGTTCTATAGAGTGTTTTTGTTTTTGTTTCGGCCTGGTTGTGGGTGAGAGTTGCTCAATGGGATTCGGGCACCCTTTTGGTGTAAAGATCGGCACCCTCTTAGTTGACAATTCAAAGGAAGCCAACCATTTAGAGGGCTCCAATTTTGAGCAACACCCCAGTTTCCAAGTTTCCCGAGATGGAGGTAATGTTAGGTCAACAAAGGGAACCCTGAGCCGTATGGGCCTGCCGGCAAACCACATCTTACACTTAGAGCTCATTTTGCAGGGCCGAACCCTGAAAACCTGCTGCCCGCAGTGTCAACCTTAGGCTGGCGTGGTGATCACCAAGCTTATGGGGAACGCTGCTGGCGGAATGGGTCAGCTCCTGGGCTCAGTTGGTTCCACCTTTGTTTCACTTGTCATTTGGTGGAGTGTTTTACTGCTCAAAGCCTGCCTGGCCAATTGTTGTTTATTTTGCAGAAATACTGAACAACAGAATGGGAGAAAGTGGGTGCTTCTAGCCCTTCTAGCCTCTATGTTTAGGTGCCTTGTCCTGCCAGACAACCCACCACTTGTTTTGGGTGTTTTCGGTTTGAGGCTTACCGCCAAAGAAGGCCCCCTCCCAACTCGCGCATTCACACAGTCGCACCGTAATACGTTTGAAACATATTACACTTATGAAAGCATAAGTTCATACGCATACATGCACACACACACACACACACACATACATACATGCTTACATACGTACATACATACATACACATATACATACATACATACATACATACATACATACATACATACATACATACATACATACATACATACATACATACATACATACATACATACATACATACATACATACATACATACATACATACATACATACATACATACATACATACATACATACATACATACATACATACATACATACATACATACATACATACATACATACATACATACATACATACATACATACATACATACATACATACATACATACATACATACATACATACATACATACATACATACATACTTACACACTTACATACTTACATACATACATACATACATACATACACACATACTTACATGCACACCTAGACGCCACACACCCACACGCACACTCACACATACTTGCATGCAGTTGTGCCTGCTTCTATGCATTCACTCACTCACTCACTCCCTCATTCATTCATTCATTCATTCATTCATTCATTCATTCATTCATTCATTCATTCATTCATTCATTCATTCATTCATTCATTCATTCATTCATTCATTCATTCATTCATTCATTCATTAGTTCATTAGTTCATTCGTTTGTTTGTTTGTTCGTTCATTCGGAACATTATTTCATTAGTTCATTTTTTTTTTGTTTCAGCTCATTTCATTTCATTTCATTTCATTTGTTCGTTCGTACGTACGTCATTCGTACGTACATACGCACATACAGAAGCACACTTAGATTTCGAGGGAGGGTGACAATTATGTTCAAGTCAACCTCTACTGAATTCAAAAGGGAAACAGAGAAGCAACGTTCAAGGGGGGCAGCAGCAACAGCAACAGCAACAGCAACAGCAGCAACACCAGGAAGGACAGCAACAAAAGCAGCAGCAACGACGGCGACCGACGGCAAACTTGCCACACATGCGACAACACCAAGCAGACCATATCTTTTCAAAGCAAACGCCATTGTTCAGCACCATCCAGACCGGGAACTTGCTTGTTCACCATACTACCTATGGACCAGACTCAAGCGTATCATGTTGGGGCAAAAGCTGAGACAGGTTGCAACCAGCCAAACCTTTTCCCCCAAGACGTCCGAGACGTCACATCTACGCCGTCACATCCGCGCGAGGCGAGCCGCCGCGCGCGCGCCCAGTTTGCCGGAGGCGTTAGGTTTGCTGGGCGACGCTGGCGGGGCTGACGCAGCCGCCAGCGAAAATCCGGAGCCGGTGGCTGAGGACCTCATGGGCTGAATCTACCCGCAAACCTGTTTGGATGTTTTCTAGAGGTTGCCCTTCATAGTCGACGGGCTCACCAGGGGGATCCTGGGGCTAAAAAGAGCTCACCCATGATGAATGGGTCCCTTGCTTGGAAGGTTTCGGTAGCTTTCACGTAGCGACCTTGTCGGGGAGGGGTCGTGTATGAGTAGGGCAAATTCCTGACCTGGATTTTGTGTCAAGCAGACATTAGCAGCTCGCACAGGCTATTCGTTTTGAGCTTGCTCGAATCCAGCATTTGGACCATCAAACCCGCACAGGGAAGAGATTAAGCGCTTCCTCCTCGTTGCCTTGCATTACGCTGTAGCTTTGAGCCACACACCGATGCTTTGAGCCAATGGGCAACCACACACCCTTGAGTTTTCGAGGGTTTGCTAATATGTAGCCATCACCGATCTGCAAGTGTCTGCCGACACCCACGTTTTGATCCCACTCGCGCGCTGGCCAATCCAGTGGTCGGCGTGCGCCGGGATAAGATTGTCCTGCAACCCTTTGCTGCAACCCCGCTTGAAACTGCTGGCCTTCTCCGCTTTTACGATTGTAATCGCTCTTGAGTAACGCGCGCTTTTTGGGGCGCTGTGAAGCATGTCCAAGCACACATCAGACGTACAGCCCACGCCTCAGTGTGACTTCCAGTCAGGGGGTGGGGTATGTGTCTGGTTTCGAGCCAGCCCAACAAAGAATCCCAAGATTCCCAAGCTTTCGTGCCACACATTCTGCTTTTCACAGGGCAAAGGCAAATGAGCTTGACTCTGTGAAAAGTCTCCGGAGGATTGAGATTGAAGCCAAGGATAACCCCTTCAAGGCTTAAGAGGTTAAGGGGTGTCCATTCGCAGTCGCGCATTCTCCAAGATTTACACTGCCCCGACCACCCCAAACTTGGGGTCTACTTTACTGGAAAATGTAGTGGGTGTTGCCACATCCCTCCCTGTGGAAAACCTTCGCTCCAGGACTTGCAGGCGCAGGTAACCCTGCTCAGCGCGAAGCTCAGCGCTGCCTGGGGCGCAGCACCCTTTCCTTGGGACATCCCCAACGAGTTCCTCGCAGATTTGTCCGGCTTCAAAGGCCGCCCAGACGAATACAAATGTGTCAAAAGTAGGGCCACAGAAATAGCAGTCAGAAAAAGCTGGTCGTTTTCCTGCTTTTGGGTCCCCTTTGAGACAAACTAAACAGGCGGCCCCCAGAAAACGCACACGAGCAGTACTTTGTATTTTTGTTTCTGGGGGGGGGGGGGTTGTATGAATCCCCAAGATGTAAACGGAGTGTCAAAACCAGCCTGAAGCATGGGAACAAAAGGGCTCCGTGTGTTTTCCCATTGATCGTGTGTTTTCTTGGGGGTTGGCGGCAAATGCAGTTCCTTAAACGTCCGTTTCCCTGTCGCAGCTATAGGCACGCACGCATATACGCGCACACACACACACATACATACATATGCATACATACATAATATACATATATATTATTATTATTATTATTATTATTATTATTATTATTATTATTATTATTATTATTATTATTATTATTATTATTATTATTATTATTATTTATTATTATTATTATTATTATTATTATTATTATTATTATTATTATTATTATCATTATTATTATTATTATTATTATTATTATTATTATTATTATTATTATTATTATTATTATTATTATTATTATTATTTATTTCTTTAGACATGTGTGTACATGTGTGTGCATGTGTGCGCGTGTTCCGTGAAATTAAATGTTCTCATTTCGCTTGGGCTGTCAGCTAAGAAGGAAGCTGGGGAAATGGCCTTTGCAATTGTACTTCACCTCACTTCCCAAGTTTCTAGACTTTAAACACTTCTTACGGTAAGCCAAAACGGCGGGACATTTATACAGTAGTGGTGTCCTTTTTGGTTGTAGAAAATGCGTGGCCAAGCTGGCAATTCTCATGGGATTTGAGGCCGAGACCCGTGGCTACAGCAAGGCCAAGCTGAACTGCTGGCCAAAGGCCTCTGCCTTGACATCGGCCCCAAGCACCGACCCTTGCTGGACCCCAAGCAACTCGCCGAGAACGAACCACGGTCATCAAGGGAATTTCCTGTTTCTGTTTCGTGTTGTTTGGGTTGTTTGCAGGTTTGCTTGTTGTTTTTGTTTTTGGTTTGTTGTTTTCACTGTGTTGTTGTGTTGTGAGTTCTTTTGGCAGGGGTGGGGGGGTGGGGTGTCTGTGTTTGTTTGTGTTTTGCTTTTCTTATACTGTAGTTTGTAGGTTGCTTTTTTTGCAGGGTTAATGAGGGATGCTTCAGCGCTGGGCAAAGAGGTGCTCAGGCTTTCCCTGGATTTGTCGTTGCGTTTCTGCAAAGGGGGTCCCTTGAAAACGAATGTGTTTGTTTCTTGCTGTATGAAAGTTCTATCTTGTGGCTTCTGCTCTTGTTCCTTTCTGGTGAAGGCTTCTATTGGCCTTAGCGCCAGTCATTCAAAGGTCCTTGAATGTGAGCAAAGCACAATGTTACCAGAGTACTGGGATTTTGTGTGGGCCATTTGCTATTTTGGTATATTTACTTGCAGCCACGGAGCCTAAACAACGAGGCACCCGAACGCGAGATTCCTGGACCACGGCACCCGGGAGGAGATCCAGTCAAAGTACTGGCCAGGTAACAGCTCTGAGGACGCCAAGATGCGGGCCATGGTGCCCTTCATCAACTACGCGCCTGGGCAGACCCAAGGGCTCTGAGTCAACCCAAAAAATGGTCGGCCCTGCAAACAAGTCCCACCTATGGTCCTTCGTCTTGGGGCAAATTTGAAGGCTTTACACAGTTCAACAAACTGTTTGGAAATCCGCGACTGGATCAAACAGTTGTAGTTGCATTTTTGTGTCCATTGGGTCGTAGGAATGCTCTGGAAAAATTGGAACCTCTTTTGGGTGGCTTGTAACATGTTTGACATCCCCTTGGAACACTACACAAGAAATCCTGCAAGTTTGGAGGCGGCAGACATGCATGGGTTTTCCTTTCGAGGTCTGGGACCCCAGCAAGAGTTACTTGGACCTTGTTGGGGACAGCCGCTTTCAGCTGGTGTATGCCTCGATGGTGGTGGAGCACGTGCCAGACCTAGTGACCTTTCTGAACGATGTCGCCTCTATCCTGGTGGCTGGCGGTGAGTTCAGACTAGCCGTGCCAGACAAACGGTATCTTCATTGCCAGACTTAGCTCACTCTTTGCCCTTAAAAAAAACAGTTGACTTTTTGCAGAGGGTGAGCTTTGGTTTGTCCAAACTAGCCTTTCAACATTTTGGGAAAGTGCACATCTTCCTGTGACTGGCAAACGGTTGAAGGTTTTTGCCCGGGGGCGGGGGGGGGGGCAACGACCAACCCAGGTATTCCTTGGACTTTCGCCGCAGGATGAGCACCTTTGCTGACGTCATGGGTGCCCATTATGACAAGTGTGCGGCCAATCCAGTGTCGGCTGCCTATGATGAGCTTACATTGGTCCCCCCAAAGTATGAGGACCCAAAGGTTTTGTGGGCTGGCTATCCACAGGACGGCAGGAATGGGGCAACCCCTTGTTTAAACATGTTTCAACCTCTTTTTTTGAACAAAGCCTACTGTTCATGTCCCGTTAAGGAAGACCGGGGTTGGCGGTTCCCCTTTCAAGACGACCAGTGATTTTGCCCATCCCTGCAGGACTGTGACCCTGTGCAGTACCATGATGCTGCCATGCAGGATATTCGGGACAGCCTCCGTATTTCCAACGGGAAGCTTGCAATGAAAGCAGGCTTGCACCACTGGCAGTTCATTCCCGGCTCTTTTGTGGACATCGTCGCAAGGCTGCGTGAACTGACGCCCTTCACCGTGGCCCAGGGAAGCGTGGTTGAGACACAGCCAAACACCACCGAGTTCTTGATCACTCTTGTGAAGCAGTGAGGTAGCCAAGGGCACTGCAAGTTGCTCTTTTCAATCGATGCCACGCCTGTCCGCTGTTACTTGCCCTTTATGATAATTCTTGCAGAAATTTAAGGACGGCTTGAAGTCCAGCATCAACAGAGCATCATTCGGAGTCGGCATGTGTGTCCGCAAACGCGCGAGCGTCTCGGCGAGTAGCTTGTTGGATTTGACTCGGCCTGGGCCCAAATACCGGCGTGGGCGGCGAGCTGTGAATCGACTTCGTTCAGAACCGAATTGCGGCAAAAGCTCAGCTGTCCCAAACCGATCCAAACCGGCCTTTTGACCTTTTGATTTTCCTTCTTTGGCCCATGTTCAGTCAAGATGCGAAGAGGTTGGCTTTTGAATTGTTTGAGCCCTTTGTGGGCCAGTGAGAAAGGTACCCTTGTGTTTGCGGCTCTTGGCGCCTGCAAGGCTTGATGGAAGCAGGGCGTGGGGTGGTTTGTGGGGTACCAGGTTTTTGCACAGGCCTTACCTTTTGACAGGGCCCATTGCTTACGGTGGAGTAAGGAGACACGCTGTGGTGACTAAACATGAGCCAACCAGAAAGCAGCGCACGGAGTTGTTTGTCCAAGCATGGAGGCTTCTGGCGGCCAGTTTGACATTGACTTCCCCAAATTGTGGGGTGATGCGACGATATGGCAGATTTCAGGCGCCACGCATAGCCTGGAATTCACTTCTCAAAGCCAGGGATGTGCATTTTTCGCTGTTCTCCATCCGTAATTTGAACACGTCAAGGTCAACAAGGTTTCTCTAGGTTGGGACACGTTTCAAGAGCACATCCACCCCACAAACTACCCTGACAGGGACCCCGCCCGAATAGTAGTTGCAAAGGCCAAACTTGAGGGCTGGGATCTGTTGGGAGGTGGTTTGCACGGACTCCAGCTACACAAATACCCTCAAAAGACACCTTCAAAACTCTGGCATTTTGCCCCTCTTTTGCAGAGAGGCTTGGGTTTCTCATCATAGGATCCAACCCCCCTCTCTCCAAGGTTTCGCCCTCTGAGAAACTCATTGCCCGCGGCCGTTCGCGGCTCGAAGGGCCTTGGGGTCATTGGCCTTCTGCGCCGGCGGGGCTGTGGGCGCAGGGCCCATGGCAGCCTTCGCGCATTTGCCGGGCCTTGGGGAGGAGGACGCGTTGACGCGTTGGGCCGTCGGCTCGCAGGTTCACATTGCCCTTGTCAACCCAGGGTAAAGGGATCCTTGAGTCCCCTGAATCCAGCAGGATTGCAAGATCATCTGAGAGGGGATACTTTACTTTTGAGACGACGCTCCCTCTGAATCCACCGGCTTGATGAAAGGATTCAAATTTGAGGAGTCAAGGTAACCCGAAACTGGGGCCACAACCGAACGATACATGGACATTCTTGTGGGAAAGGATGATTGATTTAATCATAGAGCCCGGAGACGTCCTAAATGACATCTAATACAGCAAGGTTCACAAAACACGGACCGTCCCCATGGGCCCCCAGACCAGGACACCTGGAAGTGTAGAAGTCCTCCTTTCAGAGGTCCCTTTAGTAACAAACGCACGGGTCAAAGGCCAAACCTAAGTTCCAGCCGGCCTTTTGGTTTTTGTTCGGCTTTGCGCGCAAGGGAAAGCCATACATAAATCGGCATGCAAAGGGTTTACACTGAAGGAAGATTAGGCGCCCATACCTGTGGCTGACCTAGCCAGGACTGCTCAACGATGACCATGGCCATACCAGGATCAACCCTAGACGGACTTTTTCCCTGCAAGGGTGTTCCATGCTCCCCTTGCCTTGCAGTATCTCGGGCATCGTGGGCTGAGTTGAAGGCCTCCAAAAAGCAACCAAGGGAATGACCTCCGGAGGACCTCCCGGGCTTCAGTGCAGAAGAGTGCGAGGTGGGCGTGGCTGGGCGGTGCCTTCGCGCGAGAGGTCTTGCCCGGGCCACATGTCGGGTACCCCTTAGCTGGTTTGGATTTGTTCTAGGATGTGAAACACTTGTTCTTGCAAAGGGGGACCGGCAAATCCAAATCGCTTTTGCAAAAGTCTTGCAAAGGGGGAACGGCGAATCCAAACGGCTTTGAGGGAAGCTGACGATGGTTTGGGGCTAATGGAAACCATCTCTGACTGTAATCTCAGGATTGTCCGGTAGGTAGTTTGTTCGTGGCGACTGCTGCGCCGGCGGGCCTCAGTCGGGCTTGCTCCGGCCTGCGGGAGCGGGCTGGGTTTGAGCAGAGCTGGTGACTGTACTGTAGACTTGTCGGCGTGCCGTTTGTTCTTTTCGATTTGTTTTATCGGTTTGTTTTTGATGCGTGTGCTTCATTTGAAGCGAAGGAACGACAACCTGGGGTATGTGCCCCAGAACTGCACGGAGTTATTCCCATTGAGAATGGGTGGTTTGATTGGGTGGCTGGGGCATTTGGACTGGTTGACCATACCAAGGAAAGAGCAGCTCCTTTTGTGCACTAGAAGGGGCTCGCCCCTCGACTTGTTCACCTCGCTGTGCCACCAACTGACGGCCAGCATTCAGAGTGAGGCCAAGCCCTTTCTAGAGCAATCCCGCTGGTCGTTGGAAAACCTCTGGTGAGTTCCCTTTGACTCACTTCCTGAGTTCCTGGACTCTTTAGTTTTTTTTGGGAAGACCATTCTAGTGGCAAGTGCAAAGTTTGGACTTTGGTTTGGCCAAATGGACTCAGGAAGTGAGGTACAGTAAAGACAACCATGGTCTGGTTGTTTGAACAAAATGGCCCGACCCGACCAATCAAATCAATGTCGCAGGCGTTGCCGGACCTTTTGCGGCACTTCAACCTTGCCTGCGACGTGCCCAAGTCGCAACAACGCGCAAGCCGTCGCTGGAGCCGGCTTTGTCGCATGAAAATGGAAGGATGACGCGTTTGAATATCTTTTGGTTGGAAACCCTTTCTTCGTGTTTGACACTTTGTTTGAACGCCGTTTCCTTTTGAAAGGCAGCAATTGCTTGTCCTTCTTCGAGGGCATCCAGCTTTGGAATATATCCACCTTGGGGTTGAAGTCTTTGTGGGCAACCCTCCGATGCGAAGGTGGGTTCGGTTTCTGCATGTTTTTTTTTGGTCGGGTGTAGAGTGACACCCCCCGTAGGCCAGTCAATTGAACGCCGCCAGACAAGCTACTGCTCACATGGTCCAAACTATGTCAACGATGAGTGGCCCAAACTGAGCGCATGTGGTACAAAAGTCTTACCTTCTCCCAGGGAGGGGAACCGAGTGGTGGAAATGCCCAAGCCCCCTTGTCGCCCTCACAAACACAAACACACACCCACACCTACACGCACACGCACACGCACACGCACACGCACACGCAAGCAACCGAACGAGCGGACAAACGAACGACACAAAACAAACAAAGCAAATCCAAACCAAACAAACCAAACAAGCCAAACCACACTGTCCAAACCAAGACAATTCAAACCAGACAAACTAAACAAACCAAAGAAATGAACAAGCAAAACATAACAAACAAGCAAGCAAGCAAACAAACAAACACTGCCATCCAACCAATCCAAGCAAACCGAAGGCACCAAACAAAGCAAATTCGCCAAACAAACCAAGCAAACCAAACAAACCAAACAATCCAATCGAACAAAACAAACTAAACAAAACATCGAACACCGCACTCCAACCAGTCCAAGCAACCAAACTGACAAAGCAAACTAACTAAACCAACACAAACAAACAAACAAACAGACACATGAACGAAAGAACGAACAATCGAAACACACCAAACAAACAAATCAACATAAACAACTACCCGACCGACCGACCGACCAACCAACCAACCAACCAACGAACCAACCAACCGAACAGACAATCCAACCAAGCAAACCAAACAAGCCAACAAACAAACAAACAAACAAACAAACCAAGCCTATCAACCAAAACCGCCAAGCAAATCAAACAAACCAAATTGGACCAATCCAAACAAGCCAAACAATCCACACAGCGAACAAACAACCAAACAACACAAAGAAACCAAAGAAACCAAGCAAACCAAACAATCCAACAAGCAACCAAACAAAGGAGCAACCAAACAAACGAAACACACCTATCAAACCAAAAAACACGCCAAGCAATCCAAGCAAACCAAGTTAAATCAATCCAAACAAACCAAACACACCAAACGAACCAACACACCGAACAAACAATAAACCAACCAACCAAACAAACAAACAATCAAACAAAGAAAGACAAACAAATACAAACACACACACACACATCGACACAAACAAATACACACACACACACACACCCGTCGACACACACACACACACATCGACAGACACCAGACACACACACACACATGTGAAGAGACCCTCCAGGTCCCCCCGCCCACATGTTGTGTGTACCCCCTTTTTAGCAAGGCCTCACTAAGAGGGTTGCCCTTGGATAGGATGCATCCCCAATCCAGGCAACCAGTAAATTCTGAACAGGAGGGGTTCCATGCATGGAGCCCCTTTTGGAATGCAACTCCCATGGTTTCCCTTGATGGGTCAATGAAACCATATGCATTAATAGGACGCCCTGATGATTTCCATGTACGGGTGGGAATGACCTGCACATGTCTCAAAGAATTGAGGCCCCAGCTTCGGGGGCCCTCGGAAGTTTGCACTTCTCAAGTTGATGGTGTCCACATATTTGCTAAAAAGATTGCATTTTTGGTGTGACACAACCAGTTTGATTGTTTTGTTTGCCGTTCACAGCCAGGCACTCAGGAAGTGAGAACACCTTGAGTCTTTCTCAAAATGACGCAGGAACCCCTCGAAATGGTGGATTGTCACGGCTCCCTTCAAAGCACCCACCAAGTACCCCTTGCGTTAGGAAGATGTTTGGAAAGCCAGGCGGGGACTTTGCTTTTGCTTCACTATTCTTGGATTTACTCTGTTTTTTGTGCATTTGTGTCTGTGATGTGTTGTGGCTTTGCTGGCGCCGTTCAGTTTTGCCCGAGAAAAAGGAGCATAATTCAGTTGGTAAATGCGAATCGAGGAAAGGTTTTCCAGGGCAAAGTTTTGAAGAAGGTTGGAGGTGATCACGTTTGATTTCCAGGCCACTTGCAAGTTAGTGTCCATCAAACCATGCCCTCGCTCCAATGCAGACATCTATTGAGGTGGATATCCTGAGCCTAACACAAACCTTCAAGGCCCTTCTAAACCCCAGAGATTCCGTAGATTTGGATCGGCGCCGCTCTTTGCTCGTGACTCGAGGTGCTGCGGGCGGAGCCAGGGTTGTTCGAAGCCATGGCAAAACTGAAGACGCCCAAATGGAACCTTAGCTTTGCGCGGTGCATCAAGACGGGCCTCGACAACCGCGGCCACCCGATGATCAAATCCGTAGGCTCGGAAGGGCCCAGGGAGAGGAGGGGCCGGTAGTCCGCTTGGGCCCAGGGCGAAAGAGAATTGAGTGGACCCAAAAAGTTGAAGTGGGTCTCCAGGGCGCCCGCTTCGCAGGCGCTTTACATTTTACAGCCCCAAGTGAAGGTTGCAGAGAGAGATCAAGGCGGGGCCTGTTTCTGGGGTGCCGGCATGGGTGGTGCTACTGCAGCTGAAGTGTCGGATGACTTTGATGCGCATGAAGATGCAAAGCATTTTCGGGGGAATGCTTCAGAGACGTAGACCAGAATCAAAGATATACGTGTTGCACTTCAGGCTGAGGGTTCTGCATTTGCCTTTTGGCCCTGGGACAAGAAAAGGGAAGGGAGTGGACCCCTTGTATGTAGGGGAGGTGAAGTGGACCTAACTAGCTGGTTTGTTTGAGATCTACGCTCCCCGTTCGTCTTGCAGGCTTCCCTCTGAAACGGGACCCTCTAATCTACCGGGCTTCATTCGTCCTGGGTGCCCTTAGCCCATTCTCACGCCCCCAAACTGGGTACTCCCAAGTAGAAATGGCACCCGTTCGCCCACGGCGAGCAGGTCCGAAAGGGATGCGTGCGTCGCGTCCCGACCATTCGACGCAGGGGCCATCGCTGGGGACGCCGAGTGTTACGAGACCTTCCGGCCCTTCTTCGACAAGCTGGCGGCCCTGTGCCACGAGGAGGCGTGTGTCGTGGAAATGCGGGGGGGCTGCGGCCAAATCAAAAACTAGGCAGAGGGTCCAAGTACACCAGGGCCATGAAACATTGCGTAACTCAACTCAACCTGATGTAGTGAGCTTCAATGTGGGGAACCCCGGATCATTTCAAGCCCGGGTTTGACACTGCTGGGGAAGACCCATTGCGCTACTAGCATGCTCGGGGTATTAATTCAGGCTCCACATCTCATCATTAGCAATCGCGTTTGCTTCCTTTTTAGCTGATCCTTTTGTTCAGATTCCACTTCAATCTTTTCTGTTTCCTTTTTTGTTTGGGAGGGGGGGCGGAGGGGGGAAGGCGAAAGCTGAAGCAGGCTTCGAATGGGGAAGTCTGGCTATCTCCGGAGTTCCGGCGCAGGCCACGCTGCCCTCGGCGGGAGCAGTTCTGGAGGTGCCGAAGGACATGGTCTTGGGCAGCTACTTGAGGGTCTTCAGGCCGCGAAGTTGCGGACGGATGGGGTGGGGCTACGGCTTTTCTTCTTGTCGGACCAAAGGCGCGGGGAGCTTTTTTGTGACTTAGAGGTTCAATCAAAGTGGTCGGGATGCAGGGCGTCTTGTTTTGTGCGTTCTTTTCCGTAGGGCAATTGGGTCTGGTTGTCTAACGGACTTTGCAACCCAAGGGTTCAACCCTACAAAGGGGGGGGTCTGACTTGTCCAAAGCCGGGCTACTTCTTGCTCGATTTTAGGCCGTCATTTTGTGTCCTTGAAGTGGTGATTCGTACGTTCAGGCCCTTTAGTTGTAAGTCGGTGGGCTTACAAGGCTCAAAGCTCGGGCCCAAGCTTTGGTTGCAGGTCAGCCTGCTGTTGGCTTAGCCATTCCCAAGGCTTTCTTCATAGCGGCAATTCCCAATCCTTGGGTGGCCTTGGGGCAGGTTTGTGGGAAGGTCCCGGGGAGGATTTTGCGGGAAGTTGGAGATACTTGGTTTGGCCCCAATCAGGTTCCATGTTAATGGGCGGGTTCCTTGCCTTACCGACATGTTCATCAGTTCATGGTTGTTTCTGCGGCAGAAAGCAGACAAAACACTCGAGCCAGGAACCTGGAGGGCTTGCCATTCGTTCCGGCCATGCACCGCGTTCAGCGGCACGAGGTGAGATGTCGGATGTCCGAGCCGAGCGACGACCTTTGCCTCATGAGAACCTAGTTGCAGTTGATCATGTGGTTGATTTACGCGTCCAATTTTAGAAGCGAACCCGACTCCCCAAAAATCCGGCAGATTGAAGAACCCAGGGTCAATATGAAATGGGAGTTGAAGAGCAACCACATATTCCAAGCTTTTGCAATATGGGATGGGTTGTTGAAGGGGAACTCCAATGTTGAATCAGAGCCACAACAAGGGGTGCCATGGAATGGGTCCTTAATCTATTAGTTTCTGTACCCTAGGCTTCCAAAGGCCGTTAAATAATGGTCGAGGTCGCTAGACTGTTTTTTGCCGAAAGACCGCTTTTTGCGCCTTGCCCAGAATATCTAAAAAATCATGGTTTTTGTTGCCCAAGAATTGCTTAGGGTCAGGTCACTGACAGTCACGCCGCCCTCATCCTCCGAGCTGCAAATGACATCCCCGGCTTGCCAACTTCAAGCGTGTTTTCGCTTCACTTTCAACATCGCCAGGTGTCCTGCCTGCAGTAAATATTAAGACATTATTAATAAATATGCGTGCATAGATGCTTCACATGTTGGTACTGAAGTCCGGTTTTCTTGAAAAGTGCTGCAAGCCTGGTAGCTTCTGGGCATCGCTGCCGATCAGGCGTGCGTTGTGGGCTTCTGGGGGTATGGTTGTCCACGCTTTTAATGGTTATTTCCACGCTTTTAAACGTACTTTCCAGGGTTTGTCCATGGTTTGTCCACGCCTCATTTTCTTTCAACATCGATTAAACAATAAGCAAAAAACACGTGGTGAGACTCTTTGGAGCTGTGGACACGAAGTGGACAAGCACGCATGGGCATGTGAGGGACAAACCTAATTGACGCAGCATGGTGACGGCGTGTGATTACAACGGGATGAAGCGACTTTAAAACGCTTATTTCATAAACAAAGCAGCAATAAAGTTCTTGAACCTCTCACTGCACAGAAGCGCGCGGGGATGTCAGGAGCAAGCCGTCATAAGCCGTCTCAAGTTGGCCAAGTGTTCCTAGCCCTACTTTTAATGGTCGAGGGACATTGCTGTTATAGCCTTTCGTTTTGTTAAATGGTCGAGGCTATTTAAAAGAATAGTCGAGGAAGCATAGTACAGTCACTTTTTCCGGCTGATTCCGACTTGACCTGGGTTCCCTTTCCGCAGGTGGAACGGTGCTTGGTGAAAGCTCTGCTGGAGGAGGGGGGCGACTACTTCCCGTTGACCGGGTCGGAGAGCTACCCGGCCAAGCCCAAGGGCATGACACACAAAGAGGACTGCCAAGCCGTCGGAACATTTGATTCGGAGCCGTAGAGCAGCAGCTCGTATCGCCACTCACCAGTCGCTGATCACCTGGCAAAAGCCACCGTAGGGGACCAACCGTTGTTATTCAGATCTTTCGTAGGATGGAAACGGTGTGGGCGCGGTCTTTTGTGGGTACCTGTTTTTGCTCCATTACCCGGAATCCGGGGCTGTACCCAGCAGTTCGGCCAAAACTTCCGGTCCAGTCTCAGGTTCATGTGGGTGAAGCGCAAGGACTTTCTAAATTTCCCTAGGGCAAGCCTTTTTTGGTCGTGAAGCATTCTTACCTCCGGGTTTTTTTCCCATGCCCCCCTCCCCCGCTTTTGGAGGGGGGGGGGACGGGTGATTTTGACCGTAGGAGCAGCTTCTGGCGCGGTACGGGGCATTGTTCCGGGAGCCGGACTCCCCCGCACTGCTGGCCACCGGCGCGGGTCGGCACTGGCCACACGGCCGGGGGATTTTCCTGGACGCCCAGCGTCGCGGCTGAAAAGCTCGGACCTGCATGCGGTTGCACATGGGTGTGAATTTGAATGGGGAACCACTTCAAAAGTGGTTGGTGGAACCTAGATGTTCCACCACAGGGCCCCTAATTAAAAGTTCCCCAAACGGGTTGCTTTTGGATGCTACAGATTCTGTTCATTTGGACTTGTTCAGGGTCGAACAAAGAAAAGGTCGCGGGTCCTTTGAGGGGGTTCTTGGATCTACGCTTGGGGTGGGAACCCGCTCACCGTGATTCAGGAAAGCTTGAGCCGCTTGGAGAATCTTTCAGGGCCATTTCCCCACACCACCCCGGGATGCTCAGCCACTAGTCACTGTAGAAAGTTCCCGCAATGCCTCCAGGGCCGAGTTGATGAATCGCTTGAACATGTGAACTTCAGATTTGAACAACCATTCTCTTCCGAATCACCTGAAATGAACTCATCTAAATGGGGAACTTGCTGCACGTTCACGTTGAGGGTTCAATGGACCCCGCAGAGACCCCGTATACTTGGAATCCTGAATTCAGGTTGGTGGCTCTATTATGTAATTCCCCATTGTTTGCCTTGTGTCGTTGATGTGCTGGTCGGACAGGGTTGCCAATCGGACACCCGAATCAAGATGTGGGTTGGTGGGTTTGGCGATTCAAGCCCTTGACTCAACGATTTTGAGTTTTTGGGTTCCCTAACGCTCTCTGTGGCTGCCTCTGGTTCACGTGGCTTCCTTTGGTGTGTTTCACGTGGCTTCCTTTTGTTCCCTTCCGAAGGGGCAGGAACTCGCCTGCGGTTGCAAGCATTCCAGCACGCAGTGGCAGAAGCAATTGCAACCCGTTTGTGCCAAAAAGTAAGCAGGTGATTGCAAAACTTCCCTGCAAACGTCTAGGGTCACGCGTTGTATCAGAGCCAGCTTACCCCCTTCGAGCTGAACCAAAGTTGGGTTGCATAAAAGTACCCCAGCGCTTGCCCGCAAGGAGCCCTTCGATATGAAGCATGGCCAGCCACATGGTTTGTTGCGATTTTCAGGAAGTTGAGCTCGCCCAAGTACTTTAGGCAACCGTTGTCAAAAGGACTGGTCACATTTTGGGGACCTTGAAAGCGAAGCACGAAAGAAGCTTAGACATGAAAGCTTGCCGCAATGTGTTGAGGGAGTTAGAGAGGGCATGGCAGGAGAAATGCGTCCTTCGCTCCCGGGTTCAAGGCCGTAGGTCCATGCAGAAACCCCTCGGTTTCGTCGCAAAGGCGGAAGTTCACCATTTGGATCAACGAGGAGGAGCATTTCAAGCTCATGGCCGAGCGCCAGGATCGATCCGTCGCTTTGGGGCTTCAGATTTCCCCGTTGATTTCTTTACAATGATTGCATCACCTTTTGGGGCTGGTGAAATTTTAGAAGGGTGATTTTTAAGGGGAAACGTTGCAAACAGTTTAACCTTTGCTGGGTCCTGCTTTTGGGCAAGTGGCTGCAAGTCAGAAAGCAATGAACCGAACCCGCGACCTTTATATAAATTCATGGAGTTTCTCGAGCGAAATGACAAGTTTACCTTTCCCCTTAGGGTCCCACGTAGCTTCTGAGGAAGTACTTCTAATTCCCGTACATGCTAAGACCAGGTTTGAGGCCGCGTCCATGCTGAGACACTTTTGGGGCAGCGGGTGGGCATAGGGGGACCAACAACACCGATCTGTAACTAAGCACCCCACATGGTCTGGCTTTTCGATCGCGAGATTCTAGGCAGCATTTGCCCCCAAAATGTGGCCAGCATGCAGGGAGGGCCCATGTACGTGATTGGACACTTTCCGGGCCCAACCGCTCGATCCTAGGTGAGGGGCATATATCTTTCCACACTCTAGCACTAATGCTTCAATCACTTGTGTTCAACCCATGCCTTCCTTGCGCCTTTTGACCCTTTGTTTTGTAGATCTTTCGACTGCAGTGCATCAAGTGGGTTAGAGCACGCTAGCCCAGAAATCCAACCCAACGATGCCAGTTTTGGGCAACTCGAAGAGGGGACTAGAAACAAGCAGGTGCTGAGCAAACTGTGGCCTTTTTCTTGGTTTGGGGGTTTCGTTGCTACGGGATTTGTAGCTGGACTAGTCTCATGCAGAGTTGGAGCCAATGCGTGAGTTCATTCAGGCTGCAATCAAGCGCTTTACTAACCCGATGCTGATGTTCAGAACATGCCTCCCCGAGAAACGCTTGAGGGAGCAGCATGAATTAGGTCACTCATCATTGATAGCCGTTCGACAATGGCTAAATTGGCCTGGTAGTCCAACAACGCCAAACCTCATCAATGGTGCAGCGACCCATGATGAGTGTGTTCAGACTGCCCATGCCCCGTGACGTTGGAGCCCTGCAGGAGGTAAAATCTGTGGGCCGTCAGGACTTGGAAACCGTTTTTGCTCAACTTGTCCAGGGTGTTCTGTAAAAAAACAAGCATGCAAGTTTGCGACTCTGGAAGCTGGGCCTGCTCAGCAGTTTTTACTGAGCAAGGCTTCTGCCAAGATGTCGATGATGGCCTGATGCGTGCGCCCTTAGGCGTTGCAAGTTTGCCAATTGCTGTGTTTGTGTGTGTGTTTTCCCGGCCTACTGGTGTTCCACTTTTTGGGGCATGTGGGCGCTGATCGGAATGCACGCGTTACCCTCGATAACTGGCAACCCTGGCCTTTTTTAAAGCAATTCTGAAGCAATATATGCCCCAATTCTACATTACATTAAATTAGGATCTTCTGATTTGGCGTAGTGTCCAGGGTGGGCTCGAGGATATGACGTGTGGCTGCCTGACATTGAGGTTGGTAGCGCAAAAGGCAATGTGCCCCAAGCGAGGCCAGGCTGCTGTGTAAGTCAACCGCAACCCAGCTAGCGCTGGCAGCCTCGACAGCCAACCTTTACCGCGTAGCCCTTGACCCTGGTTATCCGTGTATGGGTCCACCAGGAAGACCTAGGCCGAATCGCCACACTCACAAATCGGTCATAATCTATTCAGGGTGCACATCGTCTAGGTTTGGTGGGACCCCTTAACCTGTTGAATGGAACCAGCTTCCATGCGCGCAAGCGGCATAGTTTGGGCAAGCCGCAGTTTTAGCAGGGAGCGATGCAGTTGTCTTCGAAAACAGACCCAACCAGGCAACATATGCCTGGATTTGCAGGGCTTGCAGCTTGACGCCCCCATTTCCGGCGAGAATTTGCTTGGCACGTTTTGTTTTTTTCCGGGAGCTTCTTCTGACCAGTGTTCGCAACACTACAAGTTTGTTTCGCATGGGGTCCAAGTAGGATGATGTACTTCACCCCAAAGCCCTTAAACACACTCATGGCCTCGACGCCGTGAGGGGGCTTTGAGGTGTGTGCTTGTTTCCAAAATTGGACCTTTGGTTGCACCTTGGGGTGCAAAGCCAATTTCCGGAAAACATGATGAATTTGACTTTTTTCCAGACATGCCGTGTGCGACAAAGCACACAAGCCTCTAAGTGGCCCAGCCTGAGACGAGTGTGGGGGCAAGTTGCGCACGTTTGTTTTGAGACAAGACCAGCATTCTGAAGGGTTGGTTGATGAGGAATTATTCGGGATTCTGGGCCGGCTCGTCAGGCGCTCGGCAACCCTCCAAATATTTGGCCACTTCAAATTCGCATTTCCGCGTTGAGGGCTTCGTGACACGGCCAGCTCATGGGGAGTCTAACGAAATCTAACGAAATCTAACGCAAATCTAACGCTGCTTGGTTCGCATCACCATTCAACCAAGCATTGCCTTGAAATTCTTCCTAACACCGCGGAACCGCAAAACCCACCCAGTGCAGCCCAATCAAGGCACATGTTGAGCCATTTGTCTAGACGTGGGTAGATGGCTCAACAAGGGCTTCCTGTCCCGTCATCCCGAAAGCACTGAGAAAGCCTATTCAAACAATTTGTGCGAATGCTGTACATGAATAGGTGTCAGAAAGGGGCTTCCAATTCAACACATCCCAAACGCACCCGATCAGTGACTCCTGCATGCCCACCAGTTGTACATGGGCAGGTGTCAATAGAAGGTCTTCTTTCAATAGCTTCAATAGTTGCTACTTGGACCGGACCCCATGCGAAACAAACTTGTGGTGTTGCGAAGACTGGTCAGGAGAAGCTCCCGGACAAAAAAAAGAAAAAGAAAAAACAACGTGTCACGCAGTTTCTCGCTGAAAATAGGGGGGCGTCAATCTGCAAGCCTTGCATATCCAGGCAGATCACCAATGTAATATATTGTCTGGTTATACTCTGGTTGGGGCTGTTTTCGAAGACAATTGCAGGGCTGCCCAAACTATGCCGCGTGCGCTTGGAAGCCGGTTCCATTCATTTAGTCCTAGCGGTCCCACCAAACCTAGACGACGTGCACCCTGAATAGATGATGACTGATCTGTGAGTGTGGCGATTCGGCCTAGGTCTTCCTGGTGGACCCATACACGGATAACCAGGGTCAAGGGCTACGCGGTAAAGGTTGGCTGTCGAGGCTGCCAGCGCTAGCTGGGTTGCGGTTGACTTACACAGCAGCCTGGCCTCGCTTGGGGCACATTGCCTTTTGCGCTACCAACCTCAATGTCAGGCAGCCACACGTCATATCCTCGAGCCCACCCTGGACACTACGCCAAATCAGAAGATCCTAATTTAATGTAATGTAGAATTGGGGCATATATTGCTTCAGAATTGCTTTAAAAAAGGCCAGGGTTGCCAGTTATCGAGGGTAACGCGTGCATTCCGATCAGCGCCCACATGCCCCAAAAAGTGGAACACCAGTAGGCCGGGAAAACACACACACACACAAACACAGCAATTGGCAAACTTGCAACGCCTAAGGGCGCACGCATCAGGCCATCATCGACATCTTGGCAGAAGCCTTGCTCAGTAAAAACGGCTGAGCAGCCCCAGCTTCCAGAGCAATCTTGCATGCTTGTTTTTTTACAGAACACACTGGACAAGTTGAGCAAAAACGGCTTCCAAGTCCTGACGGCCCACAGATTTTACCTCCTGCAGGGCTCCAACGTCACGGGGCATGGGCAGTCTGAACACACTCATCATGGGTCGCTGCACCATTGATGAGGTTTGGCGTTGTTGGACTACCAGGCCAATTTAGCCATTGTCGAACGGCTATCAATGATGAGTGACCTAATTCATGCTGCTCCCTCAAGCGTTTCTCGGGGAGGCATATTCTGAACATCAGCATCGGGTTAGTAAAGCGCTTGATTGCAGCCTGAATGAACTCACGCATTGGCTCCAACTCTGCATGAAACTAGTCCAGCAACAAATCCCGCAGCCACGAAACCCCCACACCAAGAAAAAGGCCACAGTTTGCTCAGCACCTGCTTGTTTCTAGTCCCCTCTTCGAGTTGCCCAAAACTGGCATCGTTGGGTTGGATTCCTGGGCTAGCGTGCTCTAACCCACTTGATGCACTGCAGTCGAAAGATCTACAAAACAAAGGGCCAAAAGGGCGCAAGGAAGGCATGGGTTGAACAAGTGATTGAAGTATTAGTGCTAGAGTGTGGAAAGATATATGCCCCTCACCTAGGATCGAGCGGTTGGGCCCGGAAAGTGTCCAAGCACGTACATGGGCCCTCCCGCCACATTTCGGGGGCACGTGCTGCCCAGAATCTCGCGTTCGAAAAACCGTCCTGAGAATGTGCATGGACCATGTGTAAATCAAACATGCTCATACAACGTTTCCTTGCGACCTTGACCAGCCCCTCTGAGCCATATGGCCCCAAAAAGGCCTCAGCACGCACATGGGGCCTCCGACCATGCTGGGCATGTTTTTGGTGAACGACAGTGCTGGAGCACTCACTTCGAAAGACCTTCCTCAGAAGGTACATGGACCCTTAGGGTTCTGGGGTCTCCTCTGCTATGATGTTATGGTTGTGGGTTGATTAAATACCAAAGAGAATCGGCCCTTATGGTTTTCGGTGTAACCCCTTTGGTTTGAACGGCCTCCTGTTGGTTTCAATTGAAAACGGATCAGGGCCTTGTGGTTTGAACACAGTATGCCCTGCCCCGGTCTGCCCTGGTCTGCCCCGGTGGTTTATGACATGGTCCCTGCAGACAAGTCCTTGTCCTGATCAAGGCTGAACATATGCGCACTTCCCCCGCTGTTGTGAGAAGGATGTCCTTCGGTTTTGCATATCGGGGTCCTTGAAGAGCGAAGCTGGCTGAAGCCTGATACGCCCTGCGTTTTACTGGTGCGGCGATTGGGGGCAGGTCCATCGACAGTGGGGGTGGGCAAAGGTGTGCACCATGTGCGCAGGAGGAGCTCACCTGGGTTCCAAATAATGAACGCATAATGAAGGTGTTTTACCTTGTGGCAATGTTTCCGGTTTCTGATTTGCATATTTCTTCCCAGACCGTTGGGATTGGCGTAGGCGATGAAGAATAATCCCTGGCATGATGCCTCGTCCCTTCCTTTTACGGGCTGCCTTTGTGAATGAAGCGTCGCGAAAGGTACCGGGGTATCCATTGACAGAGCGTCCTTTCCCCAATAGGAGATTCCTCCAGCCTGATCAGCCTGATGGCGTTGTCCATGTGAAAGAGCCTCCTCAAAAAGTGTGTTGTGGTGTTTGCCCTCCACATCCCCAAACCCCAAATATCCCCCCGCCAACAAGAAGGAATCTTGCAAGACCCCCCCCCTCCCCCCCTCCTCCCCAAAAACACACGCAAACAACATAACACAAAACAGCCAAACATACGCGAACCACCAAGCCTTCAAAGAACAATTAAAGAACAAAAACCCGTTTCGACTAGGACGCGAACCTGCAGCTTAGCCTCCTGGAGGTCACGGACTTCGTGAGACGCCTGGAGACCAGGCCGATGCCCGGGGCGGGCTGGAAATCTGGAAGAAGCAGATTTCCTTTGGGTGTTTTGGGGCGACACTGTAGGAAAGTGAGAGAGAGAGAGGACTTGAGCCGAGGTTTCTCGTATGGGGCGGTGTTGGGGATGCTTGTGAGCACTTGTTGCTTGTAGGCAGAGCGGCTTTGCTTGTTCTAGCTAGTTAACTCACTATTGCCATCAACAAACAAACACAAACGGACGTCCAAAGTCAAATAGGAGCAAATCAAAGGACCATTTCCACCCCGCCAGGAAAAGCTCTGAAGGACCTTACGGTCGAGAGGTTCTGATCGAATTATTCAAAAGACATCCCAGGGCGGGTCTTGGACTGGACCAAAATTGGAAAGCCAAGGAGTCAAAAGGTTGGTTTGCTCTTGCTGGAATTTTGTTGAGTTGCGTGGTTCATGCACAGTTCACTTCCGAAAAGTTGTTGGTGGGAGGGCACTTGTAGCTGTTACTTCAATATGGGGAACCAGCCCTCGCGGCCGCATATGGGATCCCATCAGCTTCTGTGGCAAGAAATGTCCACCAAAGATGGCGCAGTTGAGATTCATACCCGGCTTGGACCCAGCCCGCAAAGTGGTACCACTAAGGTAAGGCAGGGCCCCCTACATGTCCCCTTTTGGAAAGGTGCGTTTCCGATGTGTTTGTTGGTAGGGGTGATGTTTTAAGGGGAAACATAGGAAGGCCTCAAGGTAGATTGCCAGGTGCGGAGGCTTCGCACACAGCGAGCGGCTGGGGTACCTGACCACCTCCCCGCAGAACCTGGGCCTGGCGCTGTCGGCGGGGCTGAGGCTGAAGCTGCCAATGCTCAAGTTCAAGAAGAGGGACAGGGGTGCATGGGTGCCGAGGGAACATGGGGGGCCTCGTTTTTGTTTGAGGGTATTTTTTTGTTTTTGGCGGGGGGGAAGGGGGTTTGAAGGGCCACCAAGAGAGAACCGCCAACATGAGGGGGCAGGGTCCCCTTCAAAAATCGATGCACCCATTTTCTCCTTCAAAGCATCCTCAAAATAATTTTGAGACTCAATAATTTGAGGGGTAACGCCTTGAAGCTGTTGGAGGTACCGCTTTGAAGCCACCACGAGGGTAACTGCGAGGCTGTCACTCTGGATCCAGAGCCCCGAGCCTCAAGATGACCATTGCCTGTTCAGTGTCCAAAGTTTAAACATGTTGCAACGACGATGTCTTTGGTCCTCCAGCCAGCTAGTCAACTCAGTTCAGCTCCCCCCAAGGTAGAGAACTTTTGTTTGGCTTCCGTGGGGCCGATTTAAGGCGAGCGCTGGACAAGGCTCACTTTCTTGGTAAAGTTAGTTTGCTCCAAGTGGGGAGGGGCCCCTTTATATTCCCGAAGCAGAGTTTGAGATCCACATGCCTTCCCCACACAAAAGGCCGTTTGGTCTCTACCTATCTTGTTTGGAGGGTCGACTCCTGGACTCCGTGAGGAGCTCGCAGAGTGGTGCAAAGCCCGCAACCTTGTCGTGCACCTTGGGCTCCAAATAGCCGCAGAAAGAACCAGCAAGCAGGAAGCAGGCAAAGAAGCAAACGGCACAAAAGGAGCAAAGAAGGAACGGGGGACACAAGCAAGGAAGGAAGGAAGGAAGGAAGGAAGGAAGGAAGGAAGGAAGGAAGGAAGGAAGGAAGGACGGACAGAAAGAAAGCAACCAAGCAAGTAAACAAACAAAAGGGCACACCCCCAGACACGGTGGTTGGACATGTACCCTCACTTACATGATGTTCCTGTGCTCAATCAAAATCAAAAGGCACGTCCACACGACAATGTGAGAAGGTTTCGAGAGTTGGTGTCCGTCCACCGACGGGCTAGTGTAAAATGCGTCAATTTCGCGAGAAAATGCTGTAAAATACGACATGTTACTGGCCCGGATGAAGAACGAAAAGACAACTCCCAACAAAATCCGGAAAAACAAAAACACCTAAAATAAATCCGCACCCTTTTTGAATGGAAGGCGCTCGAGCCTGAGGCGCCCGGTGCTGAGCAGCGATTGCCTCGAGGTGTCTCATCGGCTAAAGCTGGGCGTGAAGCCAGAGGACGGCTAGATGTTGCCGGGCCTGCAGACCTTGCTCACTGTGCGCCTCCGCAGTAGGTGCCTCTGATACGCAGCCCGTATATACTTCTTTACCATATCTGTATGTCGTATACAGGTAATCCTGCCTCTAACAATTGAACAAGTTTGTATGTGACGGGTGTGAAAGAGGGGTACCCACAGGCTTTGACATGCGGCCAAGCCCCATGACATTGAAGCTGCTCCGATTTTCTGGAGGACCTCATCGCGGATCTCACGCGGCAAGTGTGCTACCTGTGCCGCGCGGAGCGGACGTTAGGGTCGATGCTTTGCGCAGGGTCATAACTACTCGCAGTTCTTTGGATGCTCAGTTGTTTGATTATTTTTTGGTTGGCTGCCCGGCTGCCCCACTAAAAATGGTGTTCCCTTTTTTCCAGGGTCACAGCAACTGAGGATGCAGTGGGGATGAGCACGCCCCTTTAAAGAGCATTCCGAGCATTCGGCGACCCGCGAGGAGCAGCTCATGGAGTACGGGGCCTCGGTGGAGCAAGCGCTGCAGAACGCGGAGCCACGGGAGGTGCTGACGCCCATCGGCATCTCGGTTCCAGAAGTTTCATATTGTTGACGTGACGTGCGAAATGGAACATAGCCCAAACAAGTATGTTTAAATTACTCAATCTATAAGGGCTTCCCCTTTCGGGTGATACATGCTGAAGCGAGAAGGCCTTCCCCTTGGTTATTTTGACAGATTAGTCAGAGGGTTTCCTTGGAAAACTATCCAGGACCATCCAACGCGGGATGCCCTTCTAGTCTCTACAGGTGCCAAATCCCTTGGTATTTGGCTGTTGGTGCGGCAGGAGATGTGCAAAAGTCTTTTTGGGGTGTGACCTTCAACTTTGGACGTGCGCAAGGCATGGTTTGGGGGTTTCATGCTTTCGTCTTCACAGAGGTTGACCATAGTTGTGTCAGCAATCCACCTGTTGGTTAACCCCCTCCCCGACACGCAATGTTTGCGCATGTTCGAGGTGACGCGGAGGAGGACCGAAATGGGGGCCGGCCGAATTTCACGTGTGCAGTGATCGCAGTGTAGTACTGAAAGCCTTGTTTGTTTATTGAGTGTACCCTATCCGGCCCTTACTTTGACTTATTTCGCTAAGCTACGTGGTGAGGGGCCAAGTAGGTCCTCAAGGGCCAAACAGGTCGCCAAGCCTTGGTTCGCAAATGACCACGCGCGACTTTGGACACACACAATCCAAGTTGATTGAGGTTTCGTTTTGATCAACATGTGCAAAATGCCAAACAAGCACGTGGGATTCGGATGCAAAGGCCGCCTCATTTCCAGAACTCACACAAAAAGGATCCTTTCCACGCAGGGCGCATTGCTTTGGGGGGAGAATGGCCTGCCTCGATGAACCATGCGCTTTAAAGGGCCCTCATTTTCAAAGAAGCGGTCTCAAAAGAACACTCCCCTTCTCTGTTGCCTCCGGGCCGGTAAATAACGGGTGGGACCAAGCCTGAATCGGGTTGGTTGGCGGCCGTGTGGCAAGGACGCCGAGGACAAGTGGGCTGCTTCCGCGCAGCACCTCGAGGCGCCGATCCAATGTTTGCCTTGCCCGTTTCAAAGTTTTCCAGAAATCCAAACCTTGCAGTCCGCTAACATAGAGCCTGACTGAGGGGTTCTGAAGACGACTTTCCTGTAAAGGATGGGTTCAATGTTAGTGGACAGGAGGGTAATGAACCAAGAGGCATGTAAGCCCTGAAGACTTAAAGTACTAGTACCATTTGACTGCCCCAATGCTGGCAAAAAGGAATTGGTCTCTCCACACCCCTGTCACCTGTCCCTAAAGGTTTGGGAGATTGTGTACCCCCGACTCAACCCCAAAAACCGCACTTGCGAGATCCACCCCGTGGTTTAAATCAGGACTCTAATGAGGCGTTACTGAAGTCTTGTTTGAAGCGAACCAGGGGACCAGGGCGGGGAATGGAATCCAACTCTGCATACTGGGACCGCCACTTACCCTTTGCCCAGGCGATCTTTTCGGATGCTGTGGATGCACACGAGATGGAAGGTGTGAAGGCGCGAACACCGAACAATGAGTGAAGTGCTTGATGTGTTTCCTCCAATGGGCGGCCCAACCTCTTGTGAAAATTGCTTGTACGCCTGGTTGAACGTTGGTAATTACACCCCGCTTGGTCAGCTTTTGACTTGGGCACCAGGGCAGGTTTCAATCGAACCTTCTGAGGGACAAATCCAAAGACGCCCGGTGGGAAAATGCCAGCGGTGCATCACGCTTAGGCACTTATCAGGGTTTTGACGCCTTTTGGTGCCATGACCCCGTGTGCGAGACATCGAGAACACCGCAGCTGATGTTTTCCCTGGCGGCAGATCTGATGAAAAACAAGCTCATCCCCAACACCCTCCGACGATTTGTCCCCAGTAAATACCGTCTATTAGCAGTAGTTCCGAAAATAATATAAAAGACAGTAGATCCCCGATCTACGGTTGTTTCACGTTCTTTCCCAAACGGTTAAAAACAAGCATATATCATATCCCTACCCTTCCCAAGCCCCCAGGGTGGCACACAAGTGACACGCAGTGTCGGCGACACGGGGTGGCACGCTAAAACTACTGTTGTTCGCAGCGATCTACTGTTGTTCTAGCATACTGACACGGGGGCGACACGGGGCACTGCGAGACGCGCAAGTGAAACGTGGTGACACAGCGTGACACGGAGGGTGACACGCGAGTGACATGGGGTGACACGCAGGTGACACGCAGGTGACACGCGGTGACACGCGAGTGAGACGTTGTGAGGCGCTTGCTTCGCTTGCTGCCACCCCTAGCAGTAGTTAGACTATGGGCTTTCCGCACATAAAATAATTAGCAGTAGTTGTTCCTATCTACTGCCCCTGGGCAGTAGTTGGAGGGTGCTGGCCATGGAGTTGTTGAAATTCCTAAAGGGAGCCCCTTTCCGGTTAGTGAATCATATTGTTTTATGCGTGCGTGCAAATGCATGACCGCATCGATGCTCGCATGCATCATCACGCATCTGTGTATGTGCGACTATGAATGTGTTCGCTCCGTGGTCCCTTGGGCATATCCTCCGAGACGGGTCAGTAGTTTTCTCTCTTGGCAACTTCGCTGCCTTCGGGGCACAACGAGCTTTGTTCTCTCTGGGCCCCCTTGTTGGGAGCTTGCTTGGTTGCTTTGCTTGCTGTTGCTTATGCATATCTAGCGCAGTACTCAAAGCCACCACCTTGAACTATGAATCACTCCACTGCCAAAAAGGGCAAGATAGCGCCAACTGTGGCTTTACACGCAACAATTAAATCATACAGAAGTGATTTGAAAGCAAGATTGGTCTTTCGTAAAAACAAAAGAGCCAACAATCCAAACAAAACACAAATGTTTAAATCAAAAAGTTATTTATTGCAGATAATTAATTAATATTGGTGGGTAATTAGTTATCTCTTGGAATATTTGGTTGATCAAAAATACGCTTGGGTGGATCTTGGGAACGAGGTGCTTCGGGTTGTACAGCAAAGTTATTTCACACACCTGCAAGTTAACATGGAACCAGAAAAGGGGATCCCCCCAAAAAAGCAAAAGAAAAACGAAGAGCTTCCCCTGAAAACGATAGTTTTCCGCAGGTGAAACACTCCTGCATGCCCCGCAGGTGAAGCTTGGTCAGCAGCTGGTTGCCGCTTACATGGAAGATGGCCTCACCCCGGCGCGCTGGCAGGAGGAGCTGTTGCTCTTGTCTTCTTGTTTGTTTTGCTTGCATTCCCTTACATAACCCTTGGTTGGTTGTTTGGATTGGTGGCTGGGGGATTTGTACGACTGGTTCTTGTAGAGGGGAAATGGGAATCCACCTCTAGCCTCCAAACCAATCCCAATCCAGTAGTTGGAGTCAAGCCAAGGGAAGCCAGCGGGAAGAGTCCTGACCACCTAAGTCTTGGCAATGCTAAATGTAGAATTGGCAAGACTGAATTAAATGCTGTGAATCTTGGGAAAAGTGAGCCCCAGAAGATTCAGGCCCTAGTTAGCCCTGTTTTCCGACACCCATTTTATTTCTGCCGGGGGGCTAACCTGTTCTTCTTGTCCCCTAATCGGCAACTTTTGCGAGGGCTAGCAGCGCAATTTCATTTTGGGAAGAAAGCTTAGCCCCCCCTTGCTTATCTCCAGAAATATTGAGCCCCCCCTTGCTTATCTCCAGAAATATTGGTCTAGTTTCTGTGTTTTGCCTTTTGGCATTGCTGGGCACTGACAGCGAGTCACTCGTACCCGAGGAGGAGGAGGCTGCACAAGCAGAAGCAGCAAAACGGATCCAGGCGCATTCCCGATGAGGGCCACCGGGTGGGGAAGGCCCCTATATTTCCTCTTAAATCATCGCCCCACACGCTCTTACCAAGGGAAACTCATGACAACTCTCCCTAGTGCGGCAAACAGCTGTCTTAGGTCCTCGGGACAAGTGAGGAAAAAACAGGTTCTTCCCCTGGCTCCCAGGCTAGGCTCTGAACCAGCTCGAGGCTGCATTGGGTTGGATGATTTGAACCCCTGGCCTCTGTCGAGGGCAACTGGAAAGCCACCCCCCAACCAATCCAAACCACCAATCACAGGGAAGCTGAGTATCTCTTTGGTGAAGGGAAGCCCATTCCTTCAGTCAGCCAAAAGGCTTCCCTCCCTCCCCTCCCTCCCTCCCTCCCCTCTCTCCCTCCCCTCCCTCCCTGCCCCATCTCGTACCCGGCATGACAAGGAGAGATGGCTGTGAGGACCGGTTATCTCTCTCGCGCCATCTCCTTTTCCCTTTTCTCGCCTACTAATGCAGGAACTTGGAGTGCTTATCAAGCTGGTCGAAAAAGAGGATTACAACAAAGGGAGCACGTGAAACCCAGCATGTTGTATAGATAAAGATCGCGAATCAATTGTTCGCTGTTTGAAGTCGCAGTCTTTTGAACTCTGATTAGCATCGCTGCCAGTTACCATGGTGACTAGGGTGTTTTCCTTTACCTTGTGAAAGGTGGCTTTCCGTACTATGCAGCTGCTTGTTTGGACGCACTGGGATTGGGCTCTTCGACGTTTGCGTATGTCTGCGTTTATGGACATAGGCCATCCAGAGGGGCCGACAGCAGCGGAAAGACGCAAAGCCTTCAAAGAAGGCAGGAAGCCAAAAGCGGGTTGTTGGCTGGACTCCTCAGGTCGGTTCTCAAATTATTGTTGGAGGTTGACCATTTGAAGTTTAGAGTGAATTTTTGGGGGGCGTTGCGTTCACGAACTCAACCATATGCCGGGGTGTTCCTAGATTTCCCGGTGATGACTGGTTTTAAATGTCACTTTGTCAAGAGCATAAGTTGCATTTGTTCTTTGAGCGGGGCTCAGGATTTGCTAGTGATTCAGAGGTAAGTCGCAAGGGCAGTCAGACAGGAGAAGGTCACGGTCCGAAAAGTTGCCATGGTCCCCCTTGGTGGAGGATATCCTCCTCAAGATTGGCATGGATCCCCAAAAACCAAATCCCTTGTTTCCCTCCCTTGTCTATGAAGTTCAGTGGTTGATAGCCCAATTTTTCTGTGGGTGGTTTGAGAAAAGTGGCAACCCTTTTTTGATCGCTTCTGATTGCCAGGCGCCGTCCAAGGCGCAAATGCGCTCACAGCTGGAGCAGGCACTGGAGAACGGGTCCTTGGAGCAGATGCTGCAGGCAGGGAGAAGCCAGGAGTCCCTAAATAATTTTGCGTCAAGGAGGAAACCCTCAAAGGGTTAATAGCCCAGTGGCTTTTCCTTAACACAGCAACAAAGGGTAACAAACACAAAAAAGTCCTGTTTGCAGCCTGTCAAAACATAATCTTTTGGTCCGCTTCTGGGCGAGCTGTTCGCTTGTGTCTTCTTGATTGAACTCACTGCACATGTTAAGGTTCACTGAGTACTCACCAGAGTTCGCTGGGCCCCGGGCATGGCTGCGGTTTGCTTTTCAATAGTCCCGTCTTGTTTAACACCGGCTGAAGGGGGCAATTGTTTGGTGAGAGGGTGCCACTTTGCAGACTTACGATATTGAATATTCAAAAAAGACTGGTAGGCCACTAAGCCGAGGAAGTCAACTTGAAGGGGGAACCCCTTCAAAGTCAGAAACAGTGGACTTTAATAAGCCCACAAGTTCCACAACCATGACAAAGCTGTGGGAGTTTCCTGCACCTAGGCGCGGCAACCGCAGCAGCAGCAGCTTCGGCAGAAGGCGAGGCTCAATTAATTTGTCCGGAGAATCCAGCCTACAAGACAGTGCAGTCAAAACATAGCTTTCAGCAGAGCCTTTAATTTTTCAGGCCCGAAGTTGATACCGAACCATTGCTCCCTACTTAATATGTGAACATGCAGGTATGGGTTTCCTGGGTATCCTTGGGATTCCCCGCTGTAGATCCTTTACCAATCCATGGGTACATGGGAATATTTCTTCCACGCATATTTGTGCGAAAAGGAATCGGCCATGCCAAGGCTTGGGAAGGTCGTCAGAACCCTTTACACCCTTTGCATGCGCTTTCTTCTTTACCTGTTGCGTTTTGCATACTTAGTGCCAATGCATGTAAGCAGTAGGCCTTCGGGCTCGATTTTCAGGTGGCGGATCAGCTGTTGGCGGCGGCAGAGGATGGCCGTTTGGACGCGGCCATGCAATCCCAGCAGGCCAGTCAGAAACTCACCTTGAGCTGATGTGAAGGATCTTGCAAGATAGGTGGGTGGCTTTTTAGATGCTCAGGACTTTAGGCAACTCTGGTTTGCCTTTTAATATCGGCCCAGCAGAATCGTGCCCCAAAACAATGAAGGATACTCTGGCAACAATTGATCGTCCCCTAGCCAGCATCGACCAAGGCGTTGTTCTTCTAGGAACCTTTTAGCCCCGAACCTCTGATCTCTGAGTGGCTTAGGGGGATTTGATGTGGACTCCTCTGAAATATCGTCTGCCCAAAAGTTGGGTGGAGGAAATACCCTGCCTCTATGTTTTGTTGGTTCAACAGCCTCAATATGGGCGGCGAGTTAACTAGGGTCGCGGTTTAGCTGTTTCAAAACCTGGAGGTAACGCATCCTGCCCCCGAAAGGGAATGTGTTTAAACATTTTCGGCGCCTGGTTCAACACCCAGTCCTTGTGCTAATTTCCCCCTCTTGCCAGCAGCTAGGGGCTGACTTCGATAGTTCTACGTGGATGCCCCAACCGCGTATTCTACCGATCGGTTGCACTCTCAAGGGGCGAATGCGCTGGGACATCCGACAAACCCTGGTGACCGCGTGAGTTGGTTGCCAGGGTCTGCCTCATTTCACGCGTCAGGTCGGATTCAAGAAGCTTGCAACGTGGGGGGACACGTCTTCACTGCTGAAACAGCCTTTAAGTTTTCCGGAGGCCTCTACTCGCCGAAGCAGCTGGGCCACCTTGGAGAAAGTAAGTGGCACAATTCCCTTTATGCAATTAGGCAAAGGGAATGACTACACCAAGATGGGAGCATTGTACTATTTGCTTTCACTCAACTGCGGGCGTTCCATGTTTTTGCTACGTGTTGGTACCCACAGGTAGCCCTCAATTGGGGGTTTGGGTTCGTTGTGTTGGGAATTTGTACGGGTAACTGGGGAACCACTCCCCAATTAACCAACAAAGCCACGAATCGAAACCACCAATTAAAAGGAATCTGACGGGTGTGGCTTTGCACGCGCGTTCCAGTACCCATTGTGACCTCATTGTTTACCCCTTCCTGCAGCGGGGTTTTACTCTTTTTCCTCGGGGCCTCCCAAGAAAAAAGTAGTCTGCACAAATCTCCTGTCAGCTTCCGTTGGAGGGCACTCCATCAGATTCATGTTTTACCCTGTTCCCCTCACGGGGCATATGATGATTCAGTGCTGGAGAGAAGAGCCATGCAGTCAAATAGTGACTTTTTTGTGACGAAGGGGGCCACTAAGGATCATTCAGGACCGTCTGACCTTCTCGCTCCCCTTGCAAGTCTGTGCATCCATGGGCAGGTCCAGCTTACACGCATAGAAAGCCTCCGCAGCAAAGCGGCAGCCTCTTTGATGGCTGCGGCCGAGGCACGCCGAAGCTGAAGCCTTTGACAGGGGTGCAACTGGGATCTCCTTCAATACTTGGCACCGAAATCAAACATGTTCTGGGGCCAACACGGAGGTAGGAAAGTGGGGTCTGTTAAAACTCGTACCTCCAGTAGAGCTTCTTTTGCGGGTAATCACCTTTGCAACCACAAGAAAACACCCTCTTTTGGAGCTCTGGCAAAGCTCCTTGGCATGCAAGGTGCGCAATAGAAACTCCAAGGGTGATAGTCCGGCCGCGTCAATCATTCAGTTCTTTTAGGCACAATCCCCAATACGGCGGATTCTCTAAATGTTGTAGGTACAACGTGCACAAAACAGTATGAATTATGAGTCGCAATATTTGAGAAATTAAGCGTGCTCATTAGTTGTTGGAGAATGACATATATTCCTCAGTAGATCTCACTCGCAGATGGTGTCTGATTTTTGCATGAAGACACACCCGGGTACCTGGCTCAAGCTGTTGACTTGGAGTTGCCCAAAATCAGAGCTGGTTCGTCATTTTTTCGAGCTTCCCACTCCAGGGCTGGTTTTTGGATTTTTAAGGTCTTGGAAGGCCGGCTGGCTACCTGTTTGCTAAATTGCCCGTAATAGTCAATTTGTTCCGAAGGAAACCCAAAGAGGGTTGCCATTGGGGATTTGTTCAATTGTGAATTGCCAAAGAGGATTGTCATTGTATTGTGTTTTTCCGGCCACCCGGCTTCTGTTGATCTCTGAGTATTCTCCAACTCTTGGTGAGAGCGCGCCCTTTTGAGTGGGGATCAAATTTTCCAGAAGACTCCCTTGATCATACTACGTAGGGTGTACCCCCTGCACGGGTTACCCTAAGCGCAACCATCGCGGAAACCTGCCCCGGTCCTAGCATGGCAGGCTGAACTTGCCCAAGAGATCTGGATCATGTGGTTTGGAATCCAGGTGACAGGGTAGCTCGAATTTGTGCAGCAGATGCTCGATGCTCGCCATGGGTTCTTAAGTCGCCAGGGCCGGTTGTTTCAAGTGCCGAGTTTACGGGTTGTCAGCCTGAGGTTTCCCTTCAAGCTAGCGAGATGACTTTGACGAGGGGCCGTACAGGTTACTCCTCCACGGGGTCCGACCGCTTGCACCGATCGGCAAATGTACATAGCATCTTAGAACCCATGTGGCCCCATGTGTTGGAACCCATGCAGGGTGATCCAATTTGACAACGGGAAAATCCTTCAATAGATCATCAGTTCAAACAAAGCTCAACTAGCATTGGCAACAAGATGCTGGCATGTTCATCCCTGAGGCTACAGAATGTCTTGACCCGGCATGACTCAGAGTGAACCATTGTTGATCCGTGTTGTGGGTTTTGCTGGGGTTGTGTCTACGTTTGTGCCGGTTGAAGTGGCAAGACCACTCCCACAACCCTTTTGGTTTGAGTTTGCGCCAGGACGGGCGCCTGGAGTCTGCGCTCAGCGCGCCAAAGGCGATTTTGGGAAGCTTGTGGTTCCTTTATGTTCCTTTCCCCGAAAGTTACGCCCAGAACATGGAACCCCAAAAACTCGCCATTTGTAGAGAAAATTAGAGGAATCTCCTTTTTGGGGGACCCCCTTTCGGGCTCCATGTTAATTTGTAGGGGAGTACAAGGGGAGTCCTTGAAAATTCTCGATTGGGGGGGTCCATTTTTTGGCTGGTAAAACAGTTAAACATGAATCTGGTGGAGTGTCCTCCCTACGATGGGAGCAGACGCTCAGAGGGTCTGAACTACTTGCCGTTTTCGGAAGCACCCGGAAACCACTTCCATGAAGAGGGCAATGAAGCGCAAAGGACCAACTGACGATTCAAGTAGTAGTCGAATTGTGCGGTTAAATTGAAATGCTAGCTCACTTGGACCCAGTTTGGGCAGTGAACTTTACTCTATTCTTTCCTTGTTGTTTGGTAGGTTCCCTACTATGGTCACGCCAAGGGTGGTTTGCTTTCTACCAGATTCACTGCGACAACCGGGTAGGACTACTCCCCACTCATTTGATTGAATCAGACGCTCCAGCAAGCTGTTGCCTGATTTGACGGAAGTGCACAGATTTGCCCCTGGAAGTCCATAGGTTCGATTTCTTCCATTGGGCAGCTGACCCCCCCCTGTCCGGCCAGCAAACGTTGGAGCCCCTTTCCAAAGAAAACAGTCTTCCAAAAGCGCATGCACCAAGTCGTGTTGAGCTCAGCAGCCCCCCCACCGACCAACGCGCGTCACTCCTTCGATCGATCCAGGAGGAAGCGTGTGTGGGCACAGACTCCTTGGATGCTTGGCCGCGCGGGTTGGGCTGGCATGTGTCGTGGGGCCGGCGGTTTTGCAATGAAAAATCTTCCCTGCCCCTGAACCCCCCCGCCCCCCTGTTTCTACAAAAGAAGGAAAGCAAGGGGGAACGGGGGAAGGCGAGGTTCTTGGGGGGGGGGGGGGAGCTTGCACGCTGTGAAAGGCAAGCACCAGAAAAATATAAGCCCTGGATATTTTTGCCCAGGCATCTCTTTAGCCTCCCTGGGCGTTACTTTTTAAGCTGCTGAGATGGATCCGTGTGCGGGAACCAGACATTTAGAAGCCCTGCTTCTTCATTTGCATGATGCTGCTGATGCTGTAGGTTGTGCTTTATGAGCCAACCCTTTGTTCAGTTTCTTGGTCGTGGGCCCTCTTTATAGTGGCACCTGGCCTGAACGACAGCTTTTGGCTGTCCTTAAAGGTTCATGCTTGATCTTGGGGCATTGTTGTTGGCCGACAGCGACCCGTTGTGGTGCCAGCGTGCCTACTGGGATCGCTTTGTGTTGTTTGCTGAGGAGCTGATCCGTAGCAACATGGCGGCGAGCATGCTGGAGGCTGTCTGTAGCGAGGTCCACAAATTGCCCGCTCACTGATTCGGGAGGGGGGGGAATGAGCTCACCCGTGATGGTCTTCCTTGTTTACAGTTCGGCGACCGTGGTCATTGATACCAAAAGGGAGCCCCTTTTGGGGGTTGACATGGTTGACCATATCTGGCAGGGAACCTACCACCACGTAAGAGTGTTGGGTAGGATCCACCGAACACCTGGGTCCTGGGCAAATTGTTGCAATTCCCGCGCTGGAATTGCGACTAAGACCCATGAAGGTGTCTTTCCTTGGGGCCTTGACCTCCAGTCCCGCGTTTGCCTTTAATTTGTTCGAGGGGCTGTGTCAACTGCCAAACGCGGGGGGGGGGGGGGGGGGGGCCGTGCCCTTTTTTCCCATGGCTACTGGAAGTCTGGGAGTCGATTTTTGACTTGCTTTCTGAGATGATTGTTCGCCACGGGCACCCTCTTGACGAAGGGCACGAGCGATTCCGTGAAAGGGTTCAACAGGTCCTAGCTATATAAAGGATCGCCTTATTTCGCAAGTGTGTACGCAGCATGGCCCCCCCGGAAATCCGGGTTGGTTTGGGGAAGCAGGAGGGGATTATGGGGGTAGCTAGTTTGGGGAGGGGATGAGGTTTGATGCGCTTCTTTGTGGAACCTGTCGCGGAGGAGCAATACGCCAAACATCTGCCACATCATGAGAGCCATTCGGGCCTCTCAGCCTCAAGTGTTAGGTTGCTTTTGGTTTAATTTGAAGGCCCCCCTTGCCTTCGACTAAATGCCTTCTCCTTCTTGTCCTCTCGTTGAAGCTGGAGACCACACAACGCTCCATTTGTCAAATATTATGTATATATATATATATACATATTTGTACAATATATATATATATATATATTTATATTCCAGTCCCCAGGCCACCGACCCCCCCCCCCCCCCCAGATTCGGGTCCCCCCCCCCCCAACCCCCCGCTGCTACGGTCCCCAGACCCGTCCCTCGAGCCCCTGAACCCGCACCCTTGCTTGCATCCCGACACGTAGGACAACTCAACCCACAACCAACCCTAAACCAATCCTAAACCAATCCTACACCCCGAACCCTGAACCCTAACCCAAAACCAACCCTAAATCAACCTTAAACCAACCCTAAGTCCACGGCCTGGAACATATATATGTAAATCAAAGGGGGTTTCGCTTTGGCTTTTCTGTTGACCGACCTTTTTGTGGCCGCGGTCCAATGCCCCGAACGCAATCGGCAGGCCCTGGAGACGGGGAAGCTGGAGGAGGCCTTCCAAAATGAGGAGGCGTGTGTTGGCACAGACTCCTTGGATGCTTGGCCGCATGCTGCAGGTTGTGCTTCAATGAGCCAACCTTTGTTTCTTTAGTTTGTTGGTCGTGGGCATTTGTTCGATTCATTGCTGCGACTGTCCCTCTTCTGTGGCGTCTGGCCTGAGCGCCAACTTTGTCTTTTGGACTCAAAGGTTCGTGCTAGAATTGGGGCAGTGTTGTTGGCCGACAGCGACCCAATAGGTGTTGTGGTGCCAGCGTGCCAACTGGGCTCGCTTTGCATCGATTGTTCATTTGGCTTCGCCTGAGGAGCTGATCCGTAGCAAGATGGCAGCGAGCATGCTGGAGGCTTTCTGTCGCGAGGTTTTGCCCTCCCACCGACCACATAGTTTGGGCAACACTTTACGGAGCTCACCGATTCGGGGGGGCAGGATGAAGGTCCTTTACTGCGGGTCCCTTTAGTTCCGATTGCGATTATAGCATTTTCCCCAGGGTGCAGTTGTTCGGTGGATGTTACCTTACTGTGACACACTCATTTTTCACAGGTTCCCCACCAACAGCCCCAAAGAAGGTTCCCTTCTTCTACCAAGGTCACTGAACAACTGTGAACGAGCAGCGGAAATTGCGATCAACAACACATCACGAAGTCGTCTTGGAAACGCAGACCTTGGTGGTGCTTGAGGGTTCCCGCTGAACATTCAACAGTTCAGGTTGGTGACTTTCCATCCCGCTTTCTCTGGTACATGTTGTCTTTGTGGGTACCCTCGTACCGGTACCCGTGTGGAAGGGTATAACGAGGAATTCCCATGAAATGGGAGGTTGAACGTGCTCCCTCATGAAGGTCTTAGCAAGAGGTTGCCTTGTCGTACGCATGTCCCGACAACATGCTTGCTTTAGGGTGATCAGTCCTGCAAACCCTGACGTCATTGGATGAACATTGAGCCCAGAAGTGAGAGAGCATAAGAGCTTCGCATCCTCACCTCGAATTAATCCGGAATTCAGCACTCAGGGGAATACTTGGAGAGGGGCAGCCTTAAGCTTACGAAGGTGAAGTGCCTTGCGCTTCACGAAACGCGGTAGCCGACCAGATCGCCAGAAATCCATTCAGCTCAAACTGTAGGTTGTGCTTTTGTCTGGTGTAGGGACCATGTACCTGACTTTAGCTGAATGCTCCCCGTGAGTCAAGCAGAAGGAGCTTTGTCTGAAAATAGACACTCCCACACTTTGTGGGTGTCCAGCCTGCAAAGGGTTGTCACGCAATATATTTGTGGCTTTCCATTTGTTTGTTTTGTTAACCAACCTCTTTGTGGGTGCGGTCCACTCCAATGCCACGAAAGCAATCGGCAGGCCCTGGAGACGGGCAAGCTGGAGGAGGCCTTCCGAAACACGGAGGATCTGACGGGTTTCGGCGCATTTCGTATCGGTGGGTTGGACGGGGACATTTAGAGTGCTGGGTGAAGACGGCCTCGCAACGAGGGCGGCTCCGAGCCTTGCTAAATCTTTACAAGATGCCCCAACCTCCAGGGTTTCAACTTCCGAATTCCCTTGTGCCGCTCCGGGGTTTGGAGCAACCCTGGTTCTAGCACGCATCAGACGCTCTCGGAATCGCACGAAGAGGGCCCTGCCGAAAGCTCGAGGAGCCAGGCGGCAGATTGGCTTCACGTTTCATTTTGACAAGGGAATCGAAACCGTGTTTCATTGGACATGTTTCCCAGTTGGGGTCGGGATGGATCCAACAGCAAGTCCACACAGGATCCTGGACGCTTTTGGTGAAGGGCCAAATGAACTTAGTTGGCCCCAAATCTCTGTTTCAGTCCAAGAGCCCAAATACTTTGAGAAGGCATTTTCGCCGAAACTGGGTCTTGGTGTTTGGAGAGACTGGGGCTGCTAGGCTTACGCAAGAATAGGCTTACGCAATAATATGGAGTGTTTGCACATGTCATGGTGCGCATGGCGGTAGAACGAGTTAAATCGCAGAATGTGGTCATGGTTCACCATGTATGATAAAAGCCGCCTTCCTCCCAAGCGTATTGAAGCATCACGAAGAACTACGCAATTGTTCAGCAGGGGGTTCACAGGAAGAAACAAATCCTCTACTTAGCAACCGTGGGTCGGGTGTGTCTTGAATTGGGGACCCCTGTCTAGAAAATCATGTTTACGTGTTTGTTTGCACATGTCTGAGCCACCCTCATATTCCCAAAAAGATACCCGCAAAACGAGACGCACCCACCAGCACCTGGATGTCACTTGGTTTTGAACATGCTTGAGGCAACGTTGGAGGGTGCCATAGCTTGCTGCGAAAGCGGGCGGCAGGAAGGCGAAACGACCATAGTGCCCTACGATGTGATCGCGGAGGCCGCCACTTTGTGTACATGGTGTCCGTTGTTGGGAAAGTTGAGCGTCATGTTTGACCAGGGGGACTGCTCATGTTTTTTTGTGCTGATATTATGTTGGGTTCACTCATCGGGCGGCGGGGATGGGGCTTTTCGGGGCGCTTGACAAGTCAGATTGGGATACCCTGTTGGCTGCTAGGGCCTTGATTTGTCAGACTTGTTCCCGTCCAGCCACTTGGGCAGCTGTCCATAGTCGCCAGGCGCATGCGGTCGCAGTGGGGCAGAAAGAGACGCCGAAGATCTTGCTGCAATGCGAGCGCAGGCCGGGCAAGCAGGCTACCTTGTTACGGGTCTTTGATGGGAAACCAATGGTTGGAACGGGACACCATTCATTTGTTTTGAAAGTTCCCCATGTTACACAAGCAAAGGGGAGACTTCCCCAATGTCCCCAAAGCTGAGCGGCGCAGGCTTGCCAGCCTCACAGAACTTCAGCTTCGCCTTCCATCCTCCCTTTTCCTCTCTGCAAACACGTTGACGCCTGTATTTTTTTGCTTTTTGCATGCTTGTGTTTGCACAGCTTGTTGATGCCGCTCCGCATGCAAGATGCCTGGAAGGATTTTGGGTGGTCGGTCAACCCCTGACAAAATTTATACATATATACAATACATATATCTATATATACACATACATGCACACACACACATATATATATATATACCTGGACCCTCAAAAAGGAACATGTTTTTGCTCATTACGTTATGTTTGCTCATGTTGCCAATTGAGCGGAATTTCCGAAATCTACGCGGAAACTGCAAATTTCATGTTCCGCACCCATTTTGTGGCAAATCCTGCAAATTTGGCCACCAGAAATGCGCGGAAATCGGCGGAAAATGCGCGGAAATCGGCGGAAAATGCGCGGAAATCGGCAGAAAATGCGCGGAAATCGGCGGAAAGCCCAAAACCAACTTGTTTTGAACATGGCTGGTCGAACCGAAATGTGTGTTTTTTGGGTAAATGAGCGTGTTTTCCAACAATGCGCGTTTTTTTTGCTTTTTAAGGAAAATGTTGGGAAATTGTTCTCAAAGAAGATCTAGGTATATATCATATCTCCGGATCAGTTGCGGGTGTTGAACGACACAATGGCCCCTGTGATCAAACCGCTTGTTCAGTGGCAGCCGCTTTGCATGTGTTTTTGCTGAACTTCCGACCGAAAATGGCCAACCCACAAAGGGCGTCCTTTTTCCCGGGGTGACTGGGCCCCATGATGATTGTCCTTTGAAAAAGGCATCCTTGCCTCTATCGTTGTTTTCGTTCCAAACGTAGCATGTTGCGTTTTTCGTAATGGGGCAGGGCAACAGGCAACCCTTCATTTGTCCGTGTTGTTTTTGAGGCAACACCAGGTATCTCATACTGTGTTGGTTCTATGTGATTATGTGTGCTTGCTGGGCCAATTCAAGGTGAGTTTCCTTTTGGCGGGGTGATGTTTGAAGAGGATATACAGTCAGGTCTTTCTCAAAGAACAGCCCCGTTGGATTGGTTTAGTCAACGCCGGTTGGGCCAATTGAAGGTGAGTTTCCTTTTTATGGGAGGATATACATGTTTCTCACAGTTTAATCACCCGTGCAGGTGTATGTGTTCCTTTTGGTTGCGCTTCATCGCCACAGGGGACCACACTTTTGAGAAACAACTCTATATATAGGGACTAGGTGTTTGACCCCTAAAACTGTGGGTCTCCTTCGGTTTCCTGACAAAACACCAACCCGCAAACGGGTTCCCCAGAGAAAAGCCGAGCCACCGCATGTTTGTCCGGACCCGCCGCCAGGCTGGGCGCGCTCGCGGCGGCGGTGTCTTCCGCGGAGCAGCAGCTGCTCACCAAGCGCCTCGGGTCAAGTCTCAAGTTGGGGGAGTCTCCAAATGGGTGTGGGTCAAAATTAAACCACCAACCACAGGTTTTGGTCCATGTTGCCACTTAGCAGGGTTAGTTTTTTGGGTACTCATTTTTGACCCACAGCCAAATAGGAAATGCACGGCAACTCTACCATGTCCCTTATGGGAAAGTCACCTTTACCAGCTGATTTGGAGCAGTTCTTTAGAAAGCAGGTTGGTGGATGTATGTTTGAAACCGTGTTCAACCTGTAAATATCGCCCCGCCAGGAAACAATCTCTCTCTAAGCACTTCAAGTTGGCCACCTGCTCGTGATATTTAACATGAACAATGGACTTGTTGGAGTGCGCTATGAGTTTGGTCTTGGGGCAAAGCGGAGCTAGCCACCGGGCACATGCACATGGGGGCGACCACATACATATAGGGCAAATTATAGCAAGCTCGCCAGGGAGACGACTGGCTCTTGAGAAGAACGGTAGGAGCCCGACCAAAATCAACGCTTGTACATCATACAGCACTTTTGGTAATGTCAGCTTCGATTTACTGTATTCGGGAGCCATACCAACCAGCGATCCTGGTCCCATTCTGCAAAGAATCCGCATCAGAATTCGTACATTTCAGAACTGAAGATAGCAATTTATCCCGCTTGGGGTCCCAAACGCACCCTCTAGGGGAAGAATTAAGTATTCAACTGGAGGTGTGTTTGGGGTGGCAGTCGCTGATTTGTTGAATATGTAGTTTCCTTTTTCGTCAAGACCTCGGTGTTTCTCGACTTTCGACGTAGAAATTGCTGCAGGGAAGATAATGTAGCGGAATTGCTGACAAGGGGTTTTAGGGAGCCTCCTGTCCACTGCCATGATTTTCGGAAAAGGGGTAAACCAAACGCTTGAATGTGTCAGTTGAGAGGTTCGATAAATCTTCCCACCTCTTTGGACTCATCATCCACATGTTCAAAGAATTCTTTGATAGGTTCCTTTCGGCCCCCACTTGCTTCCCTCAAAGGTGGGGCACGTGGCCTGGGTCCTTCCTTCTCCCCTTGAACGGTTCAGGGAGATACTTTGCTTGATATGACAATGGCTGTAAACTTTTGTCCTGCTGCGTTTCCCTGCTGACGAATCTTGTATATTGGACTAAGTGCGAAATATAGTCCATTTTATATTCAGTGTACCCTGGCTCAGCTTTGCCTTAACTGGTGATTTGGATTGGTGCTTTGGAGGTGTGGGTTGGTTGGCGCGTCACCCTCTGCAACCAGTGGCTCAAATCCCCCACCAACCCAAACCACCAAGGGAACCCAAGGGAAACCAAGAGAAACGCAGGGAAAACAAGAAAAACGCAGGTTTCCTGAGGCTCCATGTGACCACCTAGGAGCGCGGAGTGCGCCGCGCTGGAGCAGGCCTGTGCGGACGCGAGCGCGCAACTTCTGCAGACAGACCAGGACGGACGTCGCTCCGAGTCGGTTTGGTGCGGAGGTCAACCAGACATTGGCCCCCCAAAACCCACCAACATTGCATCTTTGGTAGAGTTTCCTGCATCCCAAGGAATTCCAAAGTCTGCCCTAGCTGTGGCTCAGATTTTACGCTTGTACTTGTACTTGGGTCGGTGTGATGGATGTTGCACATATTTGGGGTATTTTGGGGTGTGGCACGGGGGTCGACTCAGTGTTACTGATTGCCCGGACGCACGCTTTGCTGCCTTTTTGGGTTTGCCATGTCGAGCTGCCTGGTTTGCAAGCCGCAGGGGCACGGGCGATGCCTATAAGAGGACTTGATGAAGAGGACTTGTGTAAAGCAGACTGATGAAAAGGCAGCGTTGTCTCTTTTGGCAGGCGGTGCAAGCTTTCGGTCCGCCTTATCTCAAGTGTTCAGAGGACCTGCGTCGGTGGTCCTATGGAAGTCTAATTTTTGCTGAGAAGGGTCACAGAGCAGCCCCCTGTACTGTCCCGTATTTTGGCAGTTTGGCCTTGCTTTTTTGGGCTTCTTGGCACACAGCTGGTTTTTGTTCCCCAACGGAATAAGCGGGTGTCAGCTTTGTCACTCAAACAGAAGTGCTGGAGCCACATTGTTCCTCAAACACGAGATATCTTATTTGCTTGAAGCTGACCTGTTCACCGCGCTGGTTTGTTAGTCAAGGTTCCGGAAGATTAACCTTCAATTCCAGCTCCTTTGGGCAGAGATACAGGAGGCCTAGCAGGAATTTTGACGGGGTCTCGGCCAAGCACTCGATAGCAAGCATGCAGCATGCCAACTGGTATCCCAACGAGCCACTTTGACTGGGCCAACTTTTTGTGTGTTAATCCTGCACGGCTTGCGAACCGACCCCCTGGAGGCGGAGGGGATGTTTCGGGAGCTTAACTTAGGGCCTTCTCGGCACTGTCAATTCGTCCATTGTTCATGTCAATGTGTGAGGGACATGAAACTCACGGGATTTCCCACACGCGCATGGATCGTTTATGACCTTTTGTGGGAAACATGTAAGTCGACGAAACTTCCCTTTCGCAGGCGGTTGCGCGCATCCAGCTACAGCTTGATGCTGAAGAGGTCAAGCGCGTGCGCCTGCAGGACAGCTGGGTTGGTGCGAAAGGTTCCTGCTGTTCGAAATCAACCCTTACTCCATATGCCAGAGGGTAAGGATTTTCCTTGTATAGTGGAGTCCCACTGCAGATTGCGGATCAGGTTTGTGGATCCCGATTTTGAACAATCCAGTCACAGGATTCTTTCATCTTGCGACACTGGTGGGAAGTAGGGGGGGGGGGCTCTTTCGGGGAGTTTGCTCCATTTCCCCATGGTCAGCAGGCAAAGGTGCCACGGTTATCTAGAACATGTGTGTACATTTGCATTGGCATCGTTATACAAGTACGTGTATATAGCTACAATATGTACCCTGGAAATCCACGACTGTTTTTTAGACGTCCTTTGCACCTCGCCTGTTTTTTGCAGCTAAAGCCTGGTTTTTTGCGCCTGCAGTGAGCCATGGCCTGGTATTTGATGGATTATTCATGCTGTTGCCACGTTTAGATTGTACAAAGCCAGTTCCACCCCAACATGTCTTGACACGACAGCTTTGGTGTGAACATAGCGGTCCGCCATGTACGCAAAAGTAGCGTGAAATCACCGTGAAAATACCGTGAAATTGGCGTGAAAGCCTGTTTTCCAGCGTGAAAGCACGTTTTCTGCCGTGAATTTTGACACCGGTGAATCTATGTGTTTCAGCCTGTCAATTGATAATCCCTCCGCTTGTTTTGTGGGAACGGAGGTCAAGTCTTTACACACTTTGGTCCTGAGCACGTGCGGCGCCCGAATTGTTCAATGATATCAGCTGAGCTTGGACAAAACTACTCCTGGCAAAAAACCGCCTTTCACAGAAAGCATGCAAAATAAACCGCTTTTGGAACCCCAGGGTGTATAAGATACATATCAAAAGATGCACGCGTGTACTTCTTTGTCATCCTTCGATTCGCGCAAGGAGGGTAAGCAGCAACTTATGGACCAGCTGGCCCTGCCCTCAGTTCACGGAGCCAGGATTTGGGTGCGGTGCATGCCTTTCGGGATTTCCACACCTTGGCCTACTGGTTCTCAAACAGCCCGCAATTGCTTAATTGTCCCAAAAGGAAAGCAAACGGGATGGATAGTTTGAACATAGTTTGATTTTTGCCAGACCCCTGTTTTTAACACCAAGCAAACCAGTTGATTTCAATACCAACTCAATCCCGACCCGCAAGGGGAGCCATGGAGTGGCTGTTGGCTGCAATGGCTCCTCTGGCTGTGGCTCCGAGTCGGAATGTGATGTGGCCGAACTTTTCGTAGCCCCCTTTGGTACCAGCCAGCTGTCCAGTGGATTGCAACCTTTGCCCTTGCTTGGTGGCTTCCGTGCTTTTGCTCGGGCGAAGGGGTTTTCGACCAGGATACTGCCCAACTGGGATGCTATCTGGCGAGCAATCATGGAAGTTTCGAGTCTGCTTTGGTTTTACCTTCTTTGCCAGCAATACCAGTACTCCAAACAGGGTGTGGAATGAGGGATTGGTTTGCGCATGTTTGCACGTCTTGCTTTGACGGGGCAGTCCTCTCGTGGCAAGCGGAAAGACTCTGGCAACAACTTGCTGGGCTTGTTTGATGTGGGCAATTGGAGCCAGCTCGGGTGCTCATTTGCAGCCATGTCAATGTGGAGATTTGGGGTTTACATTTGGGATCTTGCCCCTTGGTGGTCCGTTTCTTCAGAAAGCAGCCCAGAGATAAGGGTTCAAAGGTAGGTGCGAATCTACTTTGACTAAGCCAAGCCACAACACAATACCGGCCTTGGAAGAGTGGGAGAGGCCACACACAAGGAGCGGGCTCAGGACATGGCGACGCTTGAGCAGAAGCACGCCCAGATCGACCTGGGCGGCTACAGTCAGAATATTTCCGCGGTGTGCGGCTATAGTTTCAGCCCGGTGATGCCGGGCCCGTGAGATTTCTCGTCTCACCGAGGCGGAAGGCGAAGGGAAGCGCGACGTGATCCGAACTCACAGAGCATCACAGAGCAGTTAAACACATTGAAAAGACTTGATTTTGATTTGCAAACCGGTTGCAGGAAGTTCTGGAAGCTGGCCAAATATCCGAAAGCAGGGGCTTTGGCTAACTGTTTGATTTTCCTGTAGCTGGTTCTTTCAATTGATGCAGGCATAGTCTGCCAAAGCTGTGTGGAGGTCTGTGCCATGGCAGCGTGGGACGTGTAGCCACCAGGTGCTGATCCAGGTGGTGTGCTTGTGTATGGACGTTATGACGACTTTTGTCACTTGGTTTTCTAGGGGTCACCAAGTCAATGCCTATGTCTGACTGCTTGGGAGAGCCCCTTTTGTTGATCTTTTTGACACGAGTCAAACCCAAATAAGTGACTACTTCCTTGCAAATCAACATGGAGCCCCTCGAAAACACGGGTTTCTTGCACAAGGGGGCTAAGATTAAGCCCAAAAAGAGGGTACTCAGGAGCGTTGCATCTACGGCTTCCGCTTTTCTCTCCGCGCCACTGAGAAAATCCCAGCGAGCGCAGGGGAGATGTTGGCGCCGAGTCACATGAGTCAGGCAGCAGGTCCAAAACTACCAGCCCACCCAGATTTCGAAGTAGATGCCCTCCTCCTCGAAATCATGGAAGTGGACAGGGAGGTTACCAACAAAGGGGTAGTCTTCCCACACCTTCATGTCAGCTTCTGCTGCTGGAGAGAGAGGGTGGCCCAGAATTTGCCTTGTCTCAAAATAATGTGCTGGGAGTTTTTGCAGACCGCCCCATTGGACACCCAGCTTGCGCAAGCTTTCTGCACCCGAGTCAAGCGCAGAAGGGTGCCTCTTGAATCGCAGGTCCGCGGACTCGGCGGAATCGGGTAGAGTCAAATGGCTTACGACCGAAGGTCCAAGTCGAAAAAGGGCGAGCGTTTCTGGGGCTCAAGGAGCGACTGTTTGGCCGCTTGGCTTGTTCACCTAAGACTTCTGAAATACGTCCGCAGGGAATTGAACGCCAGGGGGGCAATCCACCCCCCTCTTTGGGTTTCGATGCCCCGCCTTTTCTACGATTCGCACGCTTCATTGGGGGGTTTCCCAATGGTGGTGTTTCTGAGGATTCAATCTTTGGCTTGGGACCCTTCCTTCCCTCCTTCAATGGGCAAGCGCCAAGGTGCCAAACTTAATTCTGGTTTGGCACGTGTCCTCAAGAACCCTCTCCACAATGCATGTGTTGCCACTTCCTTTACGCTCCCACTTGCTTGTACGCAAGCAAGTTCTTCCAACCGCCACATGAGAAAACTGACGGTTTCCAAACACAGATCCAACATGATCAGGCATGCAATCCAACCTGACAAACCAGGCAATAGTGCCAGATGTTCCTTTCTCTGACTGCAAGGGAGCCAATCACATGCGACCTTGTGATACCTTGTGTTTTAAACAGCGTTGCTCCAAGTCTAGCATTGTAAGGTCCCAACTGGTTACACGGCCTTTTTCTATTTGGGCAGTTGAGGTTCAGGCGACGCATGTTGTGCCGATGTTCAGTGGGATTGGTTTCGCATCCATCCCTTGATGTTTCCTGGGATGTTGCGTCACGGGGTGTCGCCTGCAGCCCTTTCGAGGGCCTAATGTGGCATGGCTAACTTTATCCCGGGCCTCGGGTTGACCTCAGGCCGGCTACCGGGTGGTCCGGTCAGGCTGGGTGATGGAGACCTCTTGTGGAATTCAGTGACCATTGGAGACTCGAAGATTGGCACCACGTGTGGTGATTCAAAGCGTAGCTATAGGCCACGGTCACGCATGACTGAGTTGCGACTGCAGAATACGCCTGCTTTTCAATGTATGCAAGCGGGGCATACCTGGATACTCGGAAGGAACAAGTTTCCACATTTGTCCGACATAAGCAGAAAAAACACTACGCTTATTTCGACACAAAACGCTTGTGTCCAATCTGTGATGGTCCCCAGCCACAAAAGCTTGCAACTCGATTTTGGCGGTTCCGCAGATTTCCGAGTATTTCCCTCAGATTTCCACGTATGCCCCGCCGATGTTTCAGAATTATTCGCAACACTTTTCCACCAGTGCTGGTTACAACATGGAGCACAAATCATGCGTCGCACTTCTGCAAATGTTCCGGAACATCCGCCTAAACATGAAAATGAGCAGAACAACTGCAACAAGCAAGACATCTTTCCTATTTGAGGTTCCAGGTATGCCAGCTATAAACGAACCTTTCGAATAAATGGTCTCCTGCATCGCGGTCAAGGGATTCATAGGGGCCGTTATATTTCCGAAAGGATCCAGGGTTGGCTCATTCCCAGGAGTGGTTGTTTTGAATGGCGTAATGCGTTTCTTGGGTCAAAGACCCTGCCTTAAAGCCATATTTAAAAAAAAGGATGGCCTTCGGGATATGTACTTTTCTCATCTCTGCCTGACCCCTGTACAGCCCCTGTCAGCGCAATCTATTTGATTCTATTTGTAAGCGCTGATTTTGGCGTATGTCATTTGAGGTAGGACCTTGGAGTGTTTACCTGTGGCTTCTTTCCATTTCAGTTTCCAAGATGACCTTCACTATTACTATGCACGAACCATCCCTCCAGGCTTGCCATGGGATATACAACAGGCTCGCTGCAAACAAAACAAACCCTGAACCAACCCTCAACCAACCCTACAGCCTTGACGAGCCCCACCCACGGAGAACCCAGAACCTGACGCATGTGCGCCGTTTTTCGCTGGGCCCCGGTAGCAGCTCTGGTTTTTGGGGGCAGTGGAATTCCTGCTCGCCCCAGGCCTTCAATGAAGCAATGGGCCGCCCTACGAGCCATCGCCGTCGCCCTTTCCCTCTGCACTGCCAGGCCCCGGAATCGGACGCTTGAGGCATTCCTGCTGTGCGCAAGTGGGATCCACCAGGCTCTTGTACTTGGCCAGTCGCTTCAGAATGGAAGCATTAACCAGAGTTGCTCCGCACCTCAAAACAAGAACCAAGCCACAAGGGTAGAAGCTTGGTATTGGGAGGTATCGCGACGGAAGTTGCAAAAGTGGATGCTTCAGCTAGCAGAATCCTACGAGTGCCTGTCTCTCTGAGAATTAGAGAACGTCGATCTGCATTTTGAGGGTTGATCCCATTCGACACGGTTGCAGGCTAGAAAGTTGGCTCCTGGACAAGGAGAACAGTGTAACGCATGATTCGATCAACTCCTGTTCGATGTGGCTCACTGAAAAACAACGCGGAATTTCCCCTACAGGCACCACGGTTGGATGGCTGGCTTTTTTATCATTCCAGACCGCCTGCCTTCTTAGGCCACTGACATTGCATCCCAATCCTTGGGTCGTCCGACCACCAATAGTATGGCCAATAGTCATCATTTTCAGAAGAACAAATTTGTTCAGCGTGGTCACATCCCATGGGGGCGCAAGCCTCGATACCAACCGTGCAGCACAAGCGATCAGTTTTGACAGCCTCAGGGCTGCAGGCAGGCAAAAGCCACCTGATGCATGCGCTGAATGGGTCATCAAAGAGAAGAAGCTGCCAACAAATCATGTTCTTGAACGTTGCTCCTTCCAGTTTCCTTGGAAGTGGGGCTGCTTGAAGCAGGTGTTAGCGCTTTCCGGATGTGGGTGTCAGTGTTCTTTAAAGCAGCCTTCGTCGCAGAGTGCTTAGGATGCTCGACCCTATTCAGCTTCCTAACCACTAAACCTGCTTCAGCCTCCCCCAAAGGTTACATGAGTTTTCCCGGCTGCCCAGGCTTCGAAACCGAGAGGGGTGCTTGATTGTGGTCCCTGCAACTTGTGGCTGCGTTTGCGTCTCTAACCATGGACTTGGCGATTTGGCACGGACCAAAGTGTCGGTAGCACGGACAACCTTGTGCTTCCCCTTGCATACGTGCATACGTACGTACGTACATACATATACATGTGTAGTTATGTATCTGCACAGGGTCCCATTATATGTGTATACACATTCCCTGCGGATTGACACGGCACACCATTTTGTTTGGTGGACACTTCTTTAGTGAGCACCTCCTTGTAGGTGTATTTCGATATGTTACCCCGAATTATGCAACTACGTGGGTGGTATGCAGAGGAACGCGTCAGCCCGCTTTGCGCGGCAGGAAGCTGGGTGATCCTGTCAGAGGCACGCCGGCTGCTGCGCTGCGGGGCCGTGGCTTTCCGGGCTGAACAGACTTAAAATGGCCAAGGGAACTATGGAATAGGATCGTGGCACGGGCAAACCAAGTTACACCATGATCATGGGACAATGTGCGATTCTGTTTAGCACAGTGTGGTTGTTGTTGGTATGACTCATGATTGCTGTTGTTGTATCGATGCTGCTCTGTTCTTCAGGGCGAACATTGGTGGACGTTTGGCTGAATCCCACTAACCCGCACGGAAGGAAGATGACGCGAATCCTGGCATTGAAGGGACTTGATCGGGCCAGCCGGAGGTTCAAACTTGCCATGAGTCAAAGCCTCCTTTTACATGAATTCCTTGAACGCCTAGAAATAAGAGTGCCTATGTACTTCTTGGGTTGCCGTTGTCTCATGATCTCATGGACTTTTCACAAACTTGGGACCAGCATTTTCGTAGCAGAGTTCGTACCATGTTGTAGCCAAGCCATTGACTGGTTCGCTTCTGGGGGGCCCAGGCGCCAGGGATGATTCATATCCTGATGAATCGGGGCGATAGAGGGCTAGGCCGGCTAAGCGGCTCCCAAAACCACTGGTTAGATGAAGTGAGCCCTACAATTTCGCAGAGCAATCAGGCATGCCATTTTCTGCCAGGGGTTACCGCGTGGGCAAACCTACTAAACTCGTAATCCGCCAGGGACCCTGGAGGAGGGAACAGCCACCGGTTTTTCCTCCCCCCTCCCCCGTTCGGGGTCTTTGGTGGGCTCCATGTGTTGGAGGGTAAGTACCTTCCGGGAGCCTTCCCGTTCGCTCATAGCATCATGCCGACGAGCCCAAAGCTCTGGGACCCTTAAAGTGATTGCCTTTTGGCGCCAAGACTCCCCCTTTTTGGGTTCTA